CATCTCATCTTCTGCTTCCCCTTCAGCCAGTTCCGCCGCGTCGCTCTCTCTCTCTGGAACGTCTTCTGCTTTCCTCCTTCCAACCCTTTCCTCACATCCTCCTCCTCCTCCTCCTCATCCTCCGATACCTCCTCCGATTCCGACTACGATCACTCCGATTGATTCCTATATCTATACACGCACTGCTCTATTTGGATTATGGATTTATGGATATGGTATTCTTTCCTTCCTCTTTTTGATTTGGCTCTGTGAATGTTGATTTCATGTAATTTCTAGTATCAAGTCTCAATTTTTTAATGGGCGACGTATTGAACAATTTTGGGTTTTCTGTGTTCTTTTTATTGGATTGATTAATTCATCTTTTAATTGTTTGTTATTACTGTCCATGATTTGTTGTCAATGTAGTTGGGACCTATTACTGAATTGCAAATGAGAGATGAATTTAATGTCGTTGTTAAAGGATTTGTTTGGGATAAAATTTATATAGGGGCACATGTACTTGTTGAATTTGTATACTTTGAGGCCTTTCATCAATATGGAAAGTTATCATGGTGTAAGTGACCCCAACAACCTAGTTCTGTATTTGAAAACCCTTTTTTTGTCTTTTTCTTTTCTTCTTGTATGTTTGTTATGTAATGTCCAAAAACATCAGAGTGTGTGAATATTTTCTCTCCATTTTTATGTAATTTCCTCTCCATTGTTATGTAATTTCTTGTATCAAGTTATCAAGCCTCGTTATATGTACTTGGTTGGACAGAAACGAGTTTTGTTCTGATATGCTTGTTCTGTATGGGAGTTCCATTCCTCTTTACTTCTATGCGGAATTGTTATAATTGTCATCAATGAACTATTTGTCTGCTACCAAATTAAAGGCTTCCAATAGAATGTGTTCCATTCCATATTTTGTCACTGCTTGCATATCAATTATTGCTTGAGTGTAATGTTATTGCATCCTAGCAAATCCCTGGACTAGGCTTTCCGAGAATTGTTCTAGAATCCTATTACATCAAACATTTCATCTGATAGAGGAATTCACATTTACCCTTTTATGGCCCGAGTTGATTTTACAAATTCTAATTTATGTGATGCTACAGTTTCTGCTGGTTTGGGGGAGTTTGAGAACTCTATTACCAAGAGTACTTTGCTTTTGAGATGATGGCGTAAGTTTATTATTGGACATGTATAGATGGAATTTAGCTTCTTTTAAAATCCATCAGAGAGCTCCTAACTTATTTGGATCAAGTTTCTAATTTGTATGATCTTCTTTGGATTGGTCAAAAGGAACATATTCATATTTGCATGCATATATTTACTTCCATGATATGCAAGTATTTACACTCTTTATTTATTTTCCTCGGTGAAAGGTGTGAGATAAGCTTGGATTCTAGGAAGTTTGTGTTTGACATGGTCTTACTGATAGTTGAGAATGATACAAGATTAACTGCTTCAGGACATGTGCAATAGGGCAATGGATTTGGAATTAGGAGTTTACTTTTGAATTAGAGTTCACCATTGTAGAATGGTAACAACTCCTTTTTGCCTATGGACTGAATGTTGATAGGCAAAGTTGGTAGAAAAAGATTTGGAAATAGTCAAGTACCATGAAAGTCCCTTTTGGAGGATAGCGTGAGATGTAATATCTCGAAATTTTAGATCATTACTAATATTTTTCTTTTCCTTTTTTTTTTTTTTTTTGGTATTAACTTGAGGAAAGAAACTCTTTAGGATAATTACTCTTACTAGCATACCCAACCAATGTGGGGTTTGACTGGCTGGCAATGCATTTGGATGCCATGTTGTGGATAATTTTCCATTTTATTATCAGCCGTTAAGTCATCTGCTCATTCCGTGAAGAAGATGTCCTGTTAACGGACGTTTATCATTTACTAAGGTGATATAGTGATATTGAATTTATAGGTGCAGCTTAGGATGCCACCATTCCTTTTTCTTTTTTTAGTTGGCACCAGGAACTCCCCCACGCAGGGCCCCTTAGGAACCCACCGTGGGCTACAAACCTGGGGGTGTAGGGCAGCCCCTACCATACATCGGGTGAGTCGACGAAATTAGAAGGCTTGGTAGAGGATTCGAACACTGGCCTTGTGTGTGCCAGGCCCAAGCCCCCACTATCACTGCTGGCCCGCCGGGGGCACTTCTGTTCTTAGTTACCTGTGTGTACTTTCATGTTCTCAATTTAAATATTATTGTTAGCTGTTTCATGTGATAAGATGTGTTTGTGTCCATGTGTGTATAAGGTAGTGCGTTCTCCTTGAGTTTTGTGTGTGTATCTGGGAGAGAGAGAGCACCCTTTTTTTTTTTTTTTGTGTTTGTACTTTCTTTTTTCTCTAGTTCAAAGAGTTTGATGCATCATAAACCTATTGTCACTTGCTATGACGGCCACATAATTCGGTAACAATTCCTCACGAGCTGGATCGTCTGCTTTCATATACAATTTAGAAGCCTTGTTTTCTATGTGCCATCTTGTTTCAGAGCCTGCAACTTCTTTAAGTCAGCTAGGAATTCCTCTTATATTATATCACCACAAAAGGAGTTCCATTGATCTCTAATAGGAAAAGTGCAAAGCAAGGGGCTAGTTTAACAAGCATTCTTCATTCATGTTCCTGGAAAGATTGCTGTTTGCACTGCTTTTGTCATTGTACAAGTAAATTGCCAAATTTGCATTTCTTTTGAGGCAAGGAAACAATATCGAAAAAATGTGGAGGTAAAATTTCACCTTCACAATCATATATATATTTTACATCTTTGTCTTCAAGTTATAGTCTTGCAAATATGGAAAAGCTTGGTGTGGATGTGGGTGGTATCTGTTGAAGGTACTTAGATAAATTTAAAAAGGTGTTTTCGAGCGTTGGAGGGTGCTTGGTATGTTGTTACTATCTGTTTATTTATTATAGCTGATCTATCTACATGACATACAGGATCATATATGACAGTGAGATGAAACTCAACCCCACCAGATTTAGATATTACTTTAGATTTTGATTGTGATGGCAGCAGCAAAGAAAAAAAGGATTATAGTTTTGTTGTGTGAAGTTAATCGTTTAACGTCTTGCTTATGGTAGAATTCGTTCATTTTTTTGGGACAGGTTTTCTGTTTGACAAAGACATGATTGTATTGTGTATCAGGTTAATTGATCTATTTTCAGGTCAGTTAATGGATAGCAAAAAAAACACCCTGGAAGATGGTTACCAATCTCTAGTTTCATCCTTTAGCCAATTAATTTAGACGATGCCTCTTTCAATATAATTTGAGTGTGAGGTTGTGAGCTCATTGCAGCGGATAGTAAGAGCATTTAGGGTACGTTTGGATAAGGTAGATTTAGAGGGATGGGGAGAGAAAAGAAAAGAGAGAAAAAAAGGAAATGATAGTGAGAGTGTGTTTAGTTGATTAAAAATAATAGAAAAGAAAGGATACCGAGTGATAATTATCCTCTTTATTATGTCATTTTCTATCTCTCAAAAAATAAAAAGATATGAAGAGGAAAAATAATGTTTAAGTAGTATTTTTATAATCCCGAAAGTGCTTTCAATAATTAAAGGAAAATGATAAGGGGTTCTAAGGATAACCCCTGAAAAAATGATAGCTTGAAGAGTAAAAGAGTCATCACGTGCTTAGGTATAGGTCACACCAACAGTAAATTTAAAAAAAAAAAAAAATTTGTTTGAGAAAAATACAAGGAAGGTAATGGAGTCATGGACATTGTGAAGATGACCGGGAGAAGGTGGGTATATATATATATATATATACACACACACACACATACATACACACATAATTACATATATGTTGGTAATAGATCATTTCTTTTCTCTTCTCTTCTATCTATCCAAACATAAATAAAAATAATTGCTATCATTTCATTTCTTTTATCTCATAACTAATATTATTATTTCTTTTCTTTTTTGTCCTATGTATCTAAACAAAACCTTAGTCTAACACGTGTCCACACAAAAACATAGACGCCAACAAAATTATTATTATTATTATAACAACAACAATAATAATAATAATAATAAAGACTTCCCCCATCTTTTGCAATTTTTTCTGTTGGTTTGGCTCTTAAAATGTAAAAAGAATTAGTTCTTCCGTAAGCTCAATGTTTTCTTTAAAAAAGTCAATAGAAAGAGAATTGATTTTAACCTTTACTTCTCAACAAATGCATTATATTTTGTAGATAAAACAATATTATTGTCACTAATCCTTAATAAATAAGGGAACTATACATTTGTAAAATAGAGGCACTTTCGTTATTTATTTTAAGGAAAAAGAGGAAGGGGAAGGGGGGGGGGGGGGGGGGGGGGGGGGGGGGGGGGGGCGCAAAACATGGAGTGCTAACATCAAGTATCCCTAAAAGTTACAACTTTGAGTTCTTTTTCAGTGTTAATAATATAAAATGCTTGTTTGAATAATACTTTCAAAATAATAGTTTTCTCATGAAAAGAGTTACAAGTTTTTTTTATATTTAACTACACAATTGGGATAGATTTTTTTTAAAATATTTAAAAATTCAAATAAACCATGAAAAACTTATGGCGAGGAGTCTTGAGAACATTTACTCAATATTTTAAATGTCAGTTTTGAAACTTTATGAAGAATATTGGTACGCCAAATGCATGTTTTTTAAATTTAAAACTCCTAAGATATTATTTTAGAGACAAAGTATCAAATAGATATAAATCGGTTGATAAATGGTACAAATGTTTTCTGCGTGTTTTATTTACATGAAAATCATCATCAAACATCTGCAATAATTAGATATAATAAATCATCATATTGATTCCAAAAATCAATGGCTAACCGTAGATTTTACAACAGACACCAAATTGTATGATTAACTCCATTGGCAAATAAATGCACTTTTTACTATTTTTTACCTAGCTAATCAGCTATAAACAACACCCAAAAAAAAAAAACATATTTATTTATTTTCTTTCTTTTAAGCACATCTTGGCTTGAAATTCTCCATATATAAGTGGCTAAAACAGAGTGGTGAGGTGAGAGCGCGAGCGCTAGTGTACGTCTGAAACTAAAATATTGTGAAAAAAAGGAGGAGGTTGAGTTGGCGTGGAGATGAAGTGTTTACTAGTCTCACCCTCCGCTCTACGCTGCTCATCGATTGCCCCTTTTTCTCGCATAAATAATGGCCGCCGCAACATCAATCTCAGTCAAACACCTTTCAATTCTCACCAAAATTTCCATTTCCATTTCCATTGCAAACCTCCAACCACTCGTCTTGTTCTCGCCATGGCCGCCTCTTCTACTCAGTCCCCTACCCCTAACCCTTCTCAGCAGGTCTCTCTCTATCTATCTAATTAACACATTACTCTAGGGTTCCAAAGTCAAATTTTCACTTAGATGATGAATGATTTTTTGTTAATATATGGCTCAAACAAACAATTAGATAATCTTTATTCCTCCTAATTAATATTTGTATTTTTCTTGAATTTCTTTTGTCAATCAGACTGTGCCTTCTGGGGATGCTGCTGGTGAATTAAATGTCTTTCAACTCATTCAAGCTCATCAGGTTAAACTTTATAATCTCTCTCCCCCTCTCTCTCTAGATATATATATATAGGTGGGTGTCTATGTATATATATTGGTACATCTTATTAATCATGGGTTGTTATTGCAGGAAAAGGCTGCTAGGCTTCCTCCAATTGAAGAAATTCGGACGGTTCTTGATCACAGTTTACGCGGCATGCTTTCTACTTTCTCTCATGTAAGAATTCTTTTATAGTTTGCCAATTATTTATTTTTATTGGAACCAGATCATATAAGTTGAGCCTTTACTTCTGCACTGTTATTTGGAGTAGTATTATTGGAACCAGATCAAAATTGTGGATGTTCGGGATGATTGATTAAATGGAGCTTTTATTTTCTGGATTCTATCTTTGGCATTATTATATGAATGGAAGGATGAGGACGGACAGCTTTAAGGGACAAATATGTGATAGTCTGATAGTAACTTACAACTATCCTAATGAATTCTATTCTAGGTCCTGTGATTTCCCCCTTTTTGGGTTTTTTACGTAAAAATTGTGTTTGTGCTATACTCTATTATACTTTCTGTTTGTTGCATGATTTTGAGAATGATTGAAGGAATTAAAAAGTTACTAGAATTCAAATATCAATCTTCACAACAAGCTAACTGGATTGCAAAAGGGATCAACAAAAAATTGAAAATTTAATTAAAAGCAAAATAATATTCATAAGACCTATTCAACCCCATAGGTCAAACTCACCGCTCACGCTCTGACACATCAGATCCTAGGGTTTCGGTTCCACAGATATATCAATTCGTATCAAAGTATAACAGTTGTTAGATTTTCCATAATAATTCTAATGAATCAATTTCAATTAATCACAACTGAAGAAAAAATATATATGTAAACAATTATCATGCCAAATTGTACAACTGACAAGTGCAAATAGAAGCTGCACAATTGATTGTGAAAAGTTGAAAACATATTACCTTTTCCAAATTATTGGCTCAACTTATTTGCAATTACCTTTTCATTTGCAGAAGCATGAGGGTTATCCGTCAGGGTCGATGGTTGACTTTGCGTGTGATGCATATGGATCTCCAATATTAGCAATCAGCAGCTTGGCAGTTCATACCAAGGTTTGCACCATTACTTTAAAATTCATAGTCAAATAACTTTTCAAATTTTAGAATGATTTTGGCAATATCCTAAGAGATATTGCGAGTTGCAAGTGAAAGTCATCCTTTTCTTCTGATTTATATGTAAAGTTATATTGCAATACAATGGTTCCTGATAGTTACTTGTGCTTTTTAAATTGATAAAACAGAAATAGAAAAGGGAATGCTTGGACACTTCTCGAACAAAGAGAAAGTTTGATGATAAGGGTTGATTGTACATCAAAATGCTTTGTACAAGAAAAAGTTGTTGAATTAATAGTTTGAATGTGGGTACATGTTCTCATGTACGTTAAGATGAGCTCGGTCAAGGCCAAAACCTAGATTGTCCTAGACATTCATTATTCTTAGAATATCTCTGATACATTTTCTTTACCCTTATAACTAAATGGATTAACAGTTTGTTCGAATAAATGTTTATGGCCTCTTTGTTTCCTTTTCTTTGAGAAAATCATAGTCTTTGAAAAGTCAGGTAATTATTTGGAACTATGCTGCTATATGCAGGACCTCCTATCTAATCCCAAATGCTCATTGCTTGTGGCAAAAGATCCAGAGGATAGGACTGATTTAATAATAACAGTGCATGGTGATGCTATTTCTGTAAGTCTTTTATCTTTTTTCTAATATTTTACCTTTTTTTGTTCTTTTTTCTTTTTCTCCATTTGTTGGTGGGGTAAGAACCTGTCCTAAATTATGCTGCTTATGTTCTTTTCATTTGCTGGTTGTTGCATTTCACTCCCTCCTTAATTGGATCATTAAAAATAAATTTTCTTGTGATCAATTCTATAGGTTTCTGAGAAAGATATAGAAGCTATTCGTTCTGCATATTTGGCAAGGCATCCTGATGCTTTCTGGGTAACCTTTGCTCATTCATTATCTGGCATACAATGTATCATGGCTCAATAATTGTTATGCTTTCTCCCCTATTTATTTAGATAAACTATTAAAAGAATTTTTTTGGAATATGAAGGTTGATTTTGGCGATTTCCAATTTATACGCATCGAGCCCAAAGTTGTGCGATTTGTCTCAGGGGTTGCCACAGCTTCATTGGGATCAGGAGGTTTGTGTATCATCCATCCACCTTCCTTTCTGGTGTGCACATATGGACTGGGTTGGGGCAAAAGGGGGAGCTGACATGTTGCTTAAGTGCCAAAATACAAGAGACACTTCCCTTCTTATGCTATTGTTGCTGAATATTTGATCTATTCATTTTCTCAGTGCCTCCTGCCAATTGCTTTACCACGTTTGATTTCTCTTACTAAAACTGTCTTTCCTCATTTATAATATCTTGTACTACTTTCAGAGTTCAGCAAAGAGGAGTATAGAACGGCAAAAGTTGATCCAATATTTCAGTTCTCTAAGCCAGTTGCGGTATTACCTACTAACATGTGCCTTTGGATTACATATCGCTTTTTCTTACCTTCGATGCAGCCTTCTGTCATTTCTGTTTAACTCTATGTTATTGTCACTTGTCAGTCCCACATGAATAGAGATCATGCTGAAGATACAAAGCTTATCGTACAACACTGGACATCAATCCCGGTAATCTAGAAGACTCCTTTGAACCATCTCTTTTTTGTATTATCTAGCTGGAAATTTGATCTTAACTATTAAAAAAGCAAAATAACTCAACTGATTGAAATAGATAAACCAGGATGATTGCAAATTGGGGCTTCCAACTGGGCCTATTTCACTTGGAAACGAAAATGTTCTGTCCTAATGGATTTGGAGCCATAACCAGAATGGATTTTAAGCTAATGATTTGATCAAGTTTGCTTTTATGACACCCCTTCCTCTTCTCCCTGAGTTCAAATGTCAGTTGGGACATGGGTGTGCATGTCTTACTTATCCAAACAAAGAGAAAAAAAGTAACAATGGAAAATGTTCTCACCGCAATGAAACTGAAATTTGTTGTTCCCAATCAATTTGCATTATTAAACAAATAATATCATCTGACGCCAGCCACTTTTTAAAACTTGTTTAGTTTAAGGGTGTCAGTCTTGTTCCAAAGTGTGCAGTAATTATCTCTGTTTTTTCAAAACTTGTATGGTGTGGGATGAAATCTTAAACATCCCCGTCTTTTCTTTCTGCCTTTGTTAAATCATTAATTTTAGTGATGGGATTACTTAATATGGTTTTAAGTTTCACTTACTGAGTTGTGGATGTTGTACGTAGCTCGCTGATGTGGCATCTTCTTAAAGGATGCTTATTTTATTATATCTGCCATTTATCTTGTATTAGTTAATTCCTCAGTATAGAAATGGTTGTTTAGTTAAATAATGGTGAAATTATAGTTGACAGCATACGTTTCAAAAAATTGATTTTATGTTGTTCTCCCCAGGTGGACTCTGCTCACATGCTGGATTTGGACAGTCTTGGTTTCAATGTTAAGGTGATGCTGATGTTTACCATTTCATATTCTGTTTATTCCTAATAGTTGTAGGACTTATTATTGTTCTTTTCCTGCTATATATGACGGGAAGAGTAGGTCTTTTGTTGAAGTTGTTGAGGCTCTTTTTGCTGGTTGCTAATTATGTAGTGACATATGCTGGAAAATAAGCTATTTGGTGAAAGGATTTTCTTTGCTGAAAACTTAGCAAACCTTATTGGGTTCACTTTTTTTCCCTATCTCAACAATCCTCTTCACAATTGTGCTTACAATTTGTTTTCTATCAGGCTGGCTATCAAGGGAGCACTTTCAAGCTTCGAATCCCTTTCCCTAGACGTGCAGTGGATAGAAAGTGAGTCGTTCAAATTTGAATGATTTGCCATAACTTCAAAACTTGTACTGACATTTTTTTTCTTTGTTCTTTACCTCTGCTCTTGGTTATTGTTACACTCTGATCAAATGGATTGCACAGTAAGGGTCTGGTCACATATATATTATACATATCACTCACTTACTCTTTCACAGCGGAGGCAGTGCAAATATCAGAATTTGTGCTTTTGGTACAAGAATTTTTTTTAGGAAGAATAAAGAGAGATCCTTAGAAAAAGGAAAGGCCTTTTTAAAATTTTCTGGGTTTAGTTGAGTGTGGAGGAAAGGTGGAATGATTACATAAGATTTATAATTTGAAATTGAACAGTAGAAATTTCATCCCAATATTGAGACCCAACTGAAAAGAAAGGAATTACTGCTGTGGTGATGATGACTGGAAGAACCAATGAATTTCCTAGTGGCTGTGACAACAATAAAATTGGTGGATTTCTTTAGGGAGAGAGTGGGGATGGGGGAAGGGGAGGGAGATCTCTGAAACTTTTACCGTTTTGTCGTTTTCCAGTTTGAATTTCCTCCCATATTCAAACCCCCTTTAACATGACTGGGAATTTCTGACACAAATCAGAAGTTTAAATCTGAAGCTTCGACTGATTTCCACCATTCATCTTCCTTCTCCATTATTACAGATAAGCTAGATTAACATCCACTGAGCTCAAAACAAGGGATTTTAAGAGAGAGAGAAGTGAGGAGAAAGATTTGAGAATCGAGTCCCAAGGGAAGGAACAGAGACGTTATAAAAAGAGCCAGATGTTAAAAGGGAAATTTTGTCATTGCATTAAATAACAAAGTGGAGTAAAGTTCCAGAAGTATTTTTGGACCGCAAATAGCACTTTAAATAAAAATAACATGCCATATGAAGACTGTGTCCTTAACTAGAGTTGGATTACTTTTCTGGGCAGGTTGTATTCACATTCTTTCCCAAACTTTTGCAGGGATGTGAAGACTCTCATTGTTGAAATGCTTCAAGCTGCTACGCCTCAAGTTGATTGATTACACTGAAGAATAGCAAAGAGGTGTGCTTTCCCAAATTCCTAATGCAATTTCTTGCTTGGTCATTTAGTTGTCATCAACATTGTGTCCATTGCTCTACCTTATCCTGGTCTTATCACAACTGATTATTGAATCTGTTACCCAAGTAGACCGCAAGCGTTGAAGTCCGTTTACACTCTTACTAATTTCTGAGGCGCATATCTACACCCCCAAGTTGTGTGGAGGCTGGTTCCACTAGAAGCGAATTTTGTTGAGGCCTCTGCTTCATGATGTAATGCTCCTAGCCAACTGCTCTACCCCACTGGGGGATATAGTACATAGTACTTCTCAATCAAGTACAAAACCTGGTTCTGTTAAACTCACAAATAATATTCAAATCTTGCAAATAATCAATCTTTGTGAATATATTTCAAATTCTTCACGAATTTTGTTTTCATTTGGCGCAGTTTTGGAATAACTGGTTGATATTTAATGGTTTTACCTGTTCTAACTGACTGTCTTTTCCACAAGAAGTTGCTCTAAAAGTTCCTCCAGAATTTTATCTAGATTTGAATCAATGCAGCAACTCTGTTTTTCTCTGTGGCTGTGAATATCCCAAACATTGAACATTAATTCATTCGGGGATGGTGCTCCTAAAAAAATAATCGTTACTATTTTCTTAGATTTTTCGTGAAATGTAGTTCGTAGAGTCCCAGATGTTCCGACACTTGTGTCGTACACATGGTTGTGTTCTGAAAATAATAGCGTGTAAATATTCATTATCTCTAGTGATCCTGATTATGTTCACACCGGTATTATCTAATAGACTGTGGCCTTGGTCTCTATATTTAGGAAGAAGAGATGTTCGTTTTGTGCTGATCCCTCGAGCGTGACATAACCTTACTTTTTTGAGTATTTTACACAGGATATACATTACACATTCCAATATTCCATTGATCATCCTTCCCACTAATTTGTGCAGATTTATTCCAAGTATCAGAACCTAGACCTCTTTTCAGTATGGACAGATACGAAAAAAGATGCAAATAGAGAACAAAGTGTTGCATCTGGTCACATCAGGAAATAAATATTTTGGCCAACTTTATAGCTCTCTCTTGAATGTTCTTTTAGATTTACTTTGTTATTGTAAATAAAAGTGCGATTAAGGGTCAAAAGATTAACTCTTTGATGTACGAAAGATGCTGCTTTGCTACAGATTGAAGTCAGTGAGTAAATAGAAATTGAAGCGTCCAGAAACCTTATTTGGAATTCCTCTACCGTCGTCTTAACTCTTGAATACCATTTATTGTTGACCCAAACAGAACACCTTTTTTTTTTTTTGGTTATTTTTGGGTGACTTACACGTGTACTAAAGTTTATATTTTCCTATGAACGCCAACATCAATGCGGAGATAAATCAAATTATTGCCATTGAAGGTTTTTCATCAAATTTTCTATAATTTGGTCGTATCATTTCAAAAAATTAAACTTGGAAGGAAATGTAGAAGAGCAGCTTTGGATCTTGCCAAAGAAATTAAAAGAGTGGTGATTAATAATAATAGCTCTTTGTGAAGAAATACTATATTTTAAAGGGAATGGTTAGTGTGTATTGTTCTTTGTGAAGACTAAGTAATTAAATTCTACGTACGGTGCTCATTCTAATGCAGTTCTATGACACAGAACCCCACATAAAGAGAATCAGCATCTAGGCACACAAATTGTAGTTGCAGGAAGGAATCCAAATAAACAAGATCAAAGACTAAAGATATAAAATGGATATCCAATAGCAAGAATTTTTTTACATATGACGGGAATAATTAATTACAAAGATACGAATATAATCAGGCAAACATTCAATATAAAACTAAATGAAGAATCAACAAATGAAAGCTCATTTAAAAGATTGTGAAGCCAATCTCTTCCCCCACATGATCCAATGACGGTCATTCCCGAGCGAGCGAGCGCTCCATGAAAAATTCTGTTGCAGAGAAGAAAACATAAATATGCAACACAAAAAGAGAGATCAATCAAAAGAGGAGTGCAAACGCAAAGGTGATCAGAGAAGCCAAAGCAGTGGGCATAAAGAGGGTGGCGTCAGAGGTTGGGCTAGGCGCAGGTGCCTCCGCTGCAGCCACGTTTGGAACGGCAGACACTGCCATCAGCACCAACACCGCAGCAACAAAAAGCTTCATCTTCAATGCCTCCATTATGTTGTTGAGTTGAATTGTGCAAATGTTTGCTGAGAAAAGACAATGTGAAGTGCAGAGATATTTGTGGAGGCCAAGACAAGAAAGCACAGAAATAAAGACTATGAATGTGATGTGAGAGTGAGTACTCTCAACAACTAGGTTAGTTTATATATAGAGTGTTCACGGGCAGGCTGCCCAAAGAGACCGTTGTTCCAACGCCTTTAGGTTCGATTTTTGGGGCTCGGGCTTGCCCGCCTGCCCGATTGTTGACAGGGTGTCCCAAGTCTCACACTATTGGTGCCATACAGTTGTGGCCAACGGTTTTGTGGTGGACAATTTTCGATTTGAAAAGAACAGGGTGCTACGTAAAGACCATTATCACCTCCCATAGAGAACCATGTCTTGGGGTTTCATTCCATGTAGCTAAGGGTATTTCTGAGAATCTATTGACAAATTCAATGTACTTGTAGGAGATATTTCTAATTATATTGTTAAATATTTGAATTATTGGGTGTAAAGGTTGGTAAGTGAGCTGTTTGGTCGGCTGGATCCTTATGCTTTTCCTTCTTTTTGGTAGGCTCCTAGTTGTCATGTGTATAGAGTGCCTAACGGTTCAATTATTTTTGAAGGAATTCGGCTCTTTGTTAGCTCAATTGTGTATATTTGTTACAGATTTTCAAAACTACAAATGGAATTGTGCCATTTTTAGCTTTAAAGGTTAACATTAGGGGACAAGAATCCTCTCCACCACAGGAGAGATTTTGCACAAAATTAAGTGATTGAAATTGAATTGATAAATAAAACTCAATAATGATGATGCAATCTTAATCACTAAATTTTGTGTATAACCTCTTGTACATTGGAGAAGATCTTGTCCTTACGATAGGCCAATGGTCTATGCTATTTTTGTCTCATGGCATCAGCAAACCTTTGTTATGCTTCATGTTTTTCCTAACAAGTATACTATATTATAAATGTTAGGATTTACTAATATTGTAGAAGTGTCAAATAGCAAAATGATACCGAACGAGTGTTCAAAAAGGAAATAATAATAATAATAATAATTTATTTTTAAAATAATGAATTTATGTACAAATAATTGAACGCATTCATAAAAGTATCCACAGAAGTAATATATCAAAGCTTGGAAATTCATAAAATACAGAATGGCAACCTCAATAAACGTTAGTGAGGGGCAAGTTGGAATTTACAAAATATTGCCTGTGACCCCAATGATATTTTATGCAAAAGTGGCTGAAACTGAATTTCTTGTATGTAGCACAACAATGTTAATCCCAAAATACGGATTTCCACGACCATAAAAACGTACAATATTTATTCAATTATTTTAATTTTTGGGAGATGAAAAGAGGATAAGAAATCAGTTGCAGTTGTACATTGTATCCAAGTATTTTCGATGGGAACATACAAACAAACTGCAAATCGAAGACCCTAAACAGACGATTGAAGCCCAATGATACCTGCCAAACATGAATGTAACAAATGTTAGGCTCCTAAACACATGTATCAGGAGGAAAAACAAGTGTAAGTCCCACCCATTTAACAATGGGACCTGCAATTTTACAGGCCAAGCAAATTAATTTAATTTTCTGAACATTTAATGAAACGAAGCTTTAGAAATCAGAACCTTGTTATGAGGCAACTTTCAGGTGGAAAGCTTCCATTAGAACATCTTGTGGATACTTTCCTGAGTTGCCTTTAAATCTTCCTACTCTAGGTATACACTGAAGTGCATGATTGTCTATAGCATATGTGTAAAGAAAATTACAAAATAATAGGTAATGATATCATAAATCAACATATCTGACTATACAAATGACAACAAATTGTAGATACGAGTGTGCGTGCATGTGTAGATGTGTCTGTGTGTTATATATGCAAATTCAAAAAATTGAATTCATCCACAAGGTGCTTGTGAAGCTACTCAGGGGTTGCCCTTCAATTATTTTGGCCTTTTAACAATGTTAGATCAAACTAATTAAATGATATCAATCGTCGGCCATCATCCCATAGGGCCATAAGATCATCATGTTCTTGCATATGCATCATGCTCTAGGTTCACACCTCCTATGTACCTTAGCTTAACCAACCACAGGAATATAGTCAATACCAAAAGCTGGGAGAAAGAAAAAGAAAGGTAACTACCACATCCTACTCTTCCACCGGCATTCCCAGTTGCCTTGCTAAGTTCATGTCCACCTGTTGCACAAATCACTATAATTAGTTAATAACCAAAGAATGGTGCTATAACAGTTAAAACTATAATCATTTTGACTGCCAGATTAATGCTATTCAATCCCCACATTTGAGAACAAGACAAGCATGAGGATAAAAAAATTGGAACAGGTGATGATTCTGTGCGGATGGATCAACCAGTAAGACTTGAAGAACAGTCAGCATCTCCTTTCATTAAGCAACTCAACAGCCAAATGCCAAAACGAAATATCATTGTTCCATGGGTTTTACACCAAGATAAGTCAAGAATAGGCACATCCAAATGCAGAAAATTAGGAAAAGACAGCTTCACTTCTAGTAAATGTCACAATCTCTTCAGCTATTACTCTCGCTCATACAAAATTTTAGAGTCGAGAGGCCCACTTCACTACGCAAAAAAGGAATTTCCCAACATAAAGCTCCCAAATTGAATATTCCTCTATCAGGATTCAAACCCTTTCTTCCTATGTTATATGGGTTCTTCAAAAATCCATTTAGTACCGACGTCAAAGACATGACGCCTGCGCCTGTCAGGTAGGTGTATGGGTTAGGGCTGGCCCTTTAAGGGAAGCAAGCTTATCAATAAGAATGTGAGGAAAGTAGGTCAAATGGGAGAATCACATTGCAGTGTATTGGATACGACTGTTTTACAGCATTCACTAAGTAGGTATATGACACCGAAGTGAGCCAAGGAGCCAACTGGTTCATCACCAGACCAATCTACTGAAGTTGTTTGCGGTGTCGAACTAGTCCACTTAACATAACACACACAAGATATTGCTCAAAGAAGGACGTGCGTGTCAAATTCGGTCACTGAGCCCCTTCCTTGGTTCCAAAACAACTGTCTATCCCGATTTGAAAAGTGATTTTAAAGAAACCCCCTGCCAAAAGTCACACTATCCACTGCGATTGGTCCCGATCTTGTCAAATCAGGTGAACCAAGCCCAAACAAAGAACTATGGAACAAGAGGTGATCCCCATGAGCTCGGTTGGGAAACACAAAGAGTTATTGGCTACTGACACATTTACAATAGATGTAGAATGTAGAGTCAAACATGGATATGAGATGTGTCCCACATTATAATTAGACATACACCAGATAAGTATATCTAGTAGACCAAGTTTATCACAATGTGATGATTTTGGAAACATCATATGAGGTCGTCGAAATTCAAAACTTGGGGAGTATATAAATCTAATTAATGGGAAAAAAATTACAATAGAATAAAGCATATAGCAACAGTGTGAAGCATTGTAATTTAATTGGAGCAGTCGAACCTTTGAAACAAATAAAAACTTAAGCTCCTTTCTCAAATTAGGAACCAACAATCCAATCGCAACAATTGAAGAGAAAAACTAAGAAGATGGGCATATAGAGGAAACTACAGCTACTTCAAATATGAAAAAAAATACATAAAATAAAAAAAAAAAAAATGGTGCAATTTGGAGGGGGAAAAAAATATAGATAAATATACTATACTAGCGTCAGTTTGTATCATAGCACATATAATGCCGCTGTACTAAAATTTCACATTCCACCCGCATCACCTGCTACTAGACTTAGTTGCACCTCTTCTCTGACTGATGAACACTCCCCAACTGCATTTAACATTAATCATTTTACTTAAGTGCCTTATGTTTCCATATCTTGAGCTCATTTGACACAAGCACAAAAGGGTGTCAAGATCACATCCCTCCCCACATGTAAACCTCTCAAGTCAACATATTTTGAACAAATATAATTTTTTGAATCTACCAAGAAATGTTGCATACCGACATGACATGAAAAACTTCACAACCATATTCAACAACTATACCTCTTCCAAGATCATCAGGATCAGCATGCACAACAACTGCCCTCCCCAATATGGAATGCTGCCCACTTAACGGAATCTACAAATCAGCAACAAGGAAATGAAAATTTTAAGACAAAATTTTAAAGTATTACAACTTTTCACATCCTATAAAAATGAAAACATTAGATAGTATTTCATTAGCATTTGAAATTATTCCATTTTAATTTTCCATAGCAATTGAAGCAATTCTATTCCCATTCTAGGTAAAATCTTAAAATATTTCAGAAAAAACATTGTAAACATTTTCAACATGACAGCCTTCAAAGGTTATGGACAACAAACAATTTTATTTCCATGGTACAAACAAGTAAATCATTGATGTACCTGCAAGTCTTTGATTGAAACCTCAGCAATGCCTGAAACATGGAAATCAATATAGTATGATATACACACACATACATAACATCAATCCACTCTAGGACTACAACAGTAATGATGCGCTAAAAACAGAAACTGAACACACCATCTGAGCTGGCAACGATGTTACCCAAATCGCCAGCATGACGCTCTTTATCAGAAGGAGCTCCATGGTTCTTCCTTAGTGGATTAAAATGAGGTCCTGAAACAAGTGATAGAATCAGAAAACCCTATTCAACCATTAAGCAGAATCAACTCATACAAGATATTAAAACAAATTAAAAAAAATATAACTATATATATATATATAGAACACAAATAGATGTGTGTGTATACAATACAAGGTCTGAATTAGCCGAGAAAGGGAAAAGAAGCGACCAGTGGAATTGCAGCCGTTGGTGGTATCACCGAGGGCGTGAACATGAAACCCATGAAGGCCTGGTGTCAGTCCTGTAATCTTTCCTTTCACATGGGTAGCACCTGTATATATATAAGCGCCAAGATTACAATAACATAGTTATGACTAATTAGGAACCATAACACAACAGAAAAAGAAATACACACGTGTGTGTAGAGAAAGAGAGAGAGACCGTTGGGGTCCTGAACGAACTGGAGATAGCCTCTAACATTTGTGTCGCCGGAGATGATAGCCACCGCTTTGAGTGTGCCCATTTGCTTCCTCTTTTTATCTTTCTATTTTTTTTTTCTTTTGTTCGTTTTAGGTTCCTTCCTCTCCCATTTTATCTATTCTAATTCTTTTCCTTTCCAACTATTTTCATCAAACCAAACCGAGCGGTAATAAACTAGAATATAATATATATGTATATATATATATATATATATATATGTTGCTATTAAAAGATTGCTATGACACATTTTAATATAACTGCTTTTTATAATTAAATTATTTTTAATTTATTTGGTAGTAATATTTTTTAAAACAATATTTTTAAACTTCAGTTGTATTTTTAAACTTGAAGGTTCATTTTCCCTTTTCTTTGTTCATGTATCCGTCTATTGTTCGTTTTCACAAGAGGTCACATGTCATTAAGTCATCATATTATTTTAAGTATAAAAAAGAAGATTAATATGTTTTCAAATAAAATCACAATTAAGTTTAATCAAGTACCCATTAAAGAAGCAAGAGGATTAATTTTAAATTAAATCACAACCCGTTAACTTAGTTGTGAAATGACAAAATTAATCTTGTTATTTAATGTTAAAAATTATTATTTTAAAATTACAGAAATAATAAAAGACCATTAAATAATGTTAAATTACAAAATTGTTTAAAATTATAAAATTATTATTTAATATTAAATTACAAAATTAAACTTGTTATTTTAAAATTTTAAAAAGTAATTTTTTAAAAAATTATTATCAGCATTTTTATTTAACATGAAATAGCAATATTAATTTTAAGGTAAAGTACAGAGCCAACCCTGAGGTTTGGCAAAAGGATACTCAGATGAAAGTTTGCCTATTTTAGGACAATCACACCCCCTTGCGAAATTTGCCATCCAAATACGACCTTAAAACAAATGAAAAAACCATTTTACCCTTTACTATTTTATTAATTTTAATTATAAAATATCAAAATACTTAAATGACCAAATTACTTCAGAACTCAATCAACCCTACAACCAGATTCTAGCGCCACCACCACACCAAAATCCACAACCACCACCATCCCCATCCCCAACCCACCGCCACCATCTCCACCCCAACAACCACTCCTGTGTATTACAGCAATTTATTTTCTCTATTGATTCATCACTTTCACCGCCTCACCATCAATTAATTATAAAGCCAAACACACACAACAACAACAACAAACAAACAAACAAACAAACAAAAAAATGCAACCCATTTACAAAACAATCAAGCCATCACCACCCGATTTTTCTCTCTGACTGTCCTTGATCATCGGCCGCCATCATCCAAAGTTGAGCTTGCCCTCGCCACCATCCACGGCCGAGCCATGACATCACCATTTTCAGCCTTGCACATCGCCGAGCTCATCGCCGCCTCCATCACAGCTGACATCAGTAAAGCCGAAGTTTCCCACCGCAACTGCCCATCTTCCCCTCCACCGCCCACCCATCTAAATCAACATCATCAATGGTTACGCTACCGAAGAGGGCATCACCGGACTCAACCTTGCCCTAAATTACTGCAGTCAAACATTAGGGCTTCGCGGAAGCTGCGGGTGGACATTAGGGCTTCACGACTGGAGATTGAAAGGTTGAGGAGGGTGGCGGTGGCGTTTTCTTGGGAGATTGGAGAGAGATAGTATAGGGTTTCGGCGATGTAAGGTATTGCGCCCTCGTCGGCGATTAGAGATCAACTCTGGGTTGTGTTTGGAGATGAGACGCGAGTTTGTTCCGATACTGAGCTCAGCTTTGTTATCAAAGATCTCGTCGTTCAGCGTTTAACTTCCATTTGGAGCTTCTCTCTCCAAAGCTAGAGTTATTCCTATATTTGACACGATGGCTCCCGGACCATCCTTAACTCTAGCGCTTGCCCCTGGACCGGGAGAACCTCATAACACTTCACCGCCGATCTACTTGTCTTCTTTGTTGACGGCGACTTCAATCCGTTGCAAACTCCACAGTTTGATTGTTTCGTATAGAAGTCTCTAGCGAAGGATGACATATTCGCCTTCTTTGAGTTTTCGGCGGTGAAAAAAGAGTTGAGGAAACTCACAATCCCGTCGCCTTGTGTGTGTGTGTGTATATATGTATCTGTATATACATATATATATATGTGTGTGTGGGTGTGTGTACATATATGTGTTTGTGTATCTGTGTGATAATGTGTGTGTGTGTGTGTGTGTGTGTGTTCGTGTTGGGGCGAGGAAGAGGAACACGAGAGAGAAGGAAAGAAATGGTTATGGGTTTGAGATTATAAACGTCATTACAACATTTAAATTGTTCAATATAAAAGTTAAAGGGCAAAAATGTCAATTCATTATTATTGGAGTGTCTTTGTTAGCTGTATCAAACTTCAGGAGGTATCATTGTCTCAAAATAAGCAAACTTTCATTTTGGTATCCTTTTAGCAAACCTCAGGGGGGTATTGGTATACTTTACCCTTAATTTTATCACTTCAGAACTAAGTGTTACGGATGCACAATCCCACATCGCGTGGGAAAGGGAAATGTGAAATGTTTATATGTACGTGTGTCACTTCAATTGGTATGAGCCTTTTGGGGTAAAACCCAAGAGCAAAACCGTGCGGGTTAAGATCCAAAACAGACAATATCATATCATGTGGTGGAGTGAGTCAAAAACGTCGGGCCTCCAAAAAGAGTGGATTGTGATGACCCAATGAGTTTTTAAAATCTATTTAAGATTTTATTCACAATTTTAAAAAGTACAATTGTTTTTTTTTGTTACTTTCAAGTTTTAACCCTTAATGAAGTGAAATTATATTGCACACGGGACAACAAATTCGAGCTGTGATGGTCATTTGTTTTACGTCATTCATCGGTCATCACACTATGTGAGTCCATGTAGCATTGGGCTGCTATTGATCCAACGATCCCAATTTTGGGCCGCTCAAGCCTATATAGCCCAATCATATAAAGACTATTGTTCCCTAAAATGCCAATAAATTGACGTCACTTGTGAAGAAAATAAAAGAAAAAGTAAAAGATTAATGGAATAATAAATTCTTCACACAAAGATAAGAAACGGTTAAATAATAAAAAATAATAATAATAATATTTGTAATAATTATGTAGTCTGAGAAAGTTTTAAGGAATAGTTAAAATATTCTCCATTAAAAAAAATATGAAACAATTGAAGTGTGATGTTTATATAAACGAATGAATTTGGGATGAATGAATTTGATTTTAAACAAAAGATTGTGTATTAAGAGGTTAAATTATAAAACTCGAGGTAATACTCAGATGCATGGGTAAAATATTTTTGTATATCTTTAGGATTTTCCTATCCATACATGAATTTCAAATAATTTTTTTCACCTTGGTATTCAAAATTTATTCATGAAAAGTTCTTTAATCATTGTTAAAATTATATTAAATTACTCACGTCAAATTTATATTGTAATGTTTATAAGGTTGAATATATATCCAAAGACTATAATTTAATTGTATTTTTTCACCTTTTATATGTTTTTTTTAATATTCATTTTATTTTCAGGTATTTAGTATATCATCAAACATATGAGCTCATATGTCATTAAGTCATCAATATACGTTCAAATAAAATCGTAATCAACTTTAATCTAATACCCTTTAAAGAACCGAGGGATTAAATTTTAGTACAAAGGTACGATACAAGTGGGATCCTAGATGTTGAAATATTGAATTAAATAAATTTTAATACAAAATTTTGAATGTTTATTCTTTATCAATTGACCAAATGTGTGACAATTGACATGATACGCATATATGACTGGAATTAAAATGCAAAGCTCTTGTGCATGCGATATACTTGGTTATAATGAGCTTTCTTTTTTCTTTTTTCTTTTTTTTTTCTTTTTTTATATTCCGACAAATTAGTGGAAGAGGGATTTAAATATGGACATATCGACTCAAAAAGTAAGGCATTGTTGTATAGTGTCATCTATTTATACTAAATCACTTTTTTATTCAAATCCGATATGGAACAAATGGCTCTTTATAACATTATTTTTCATCCGAACTCGCCATGCTCTTGTTGCGATCGGACTACCCTACCTACCCAGGGTAGCTCACCCAGACGCTTGACGTGGCACCGAATCAAGAATTAAGAGTTTAACTCTGATATCAATTGTAACAGATTGACGCTTATCTATTTATTCAAAAGTTTAAACTGTTAGGTAATTCTATATATTCACGTATTTAGAACTAATCACTTCTTTATTTGAATTTGATGTGAGATAAATAATTCCCAATAGCGACAAGTAAGTAACATCCCACTTACCTCTTGAAAAAGAGCACTAATTGACTCCTAATTTTTTTCAAAAAAAACATTGAAACCTACCTTTAAAACCTTTTTCTTTACATAAGTTATAAACCAATCTCTGTTAAAAAATAATACTCCCTCGTTCCTAACTTAAGTATTCACTTTGAAAACTATAATTCACCCGTCCCAAAATCAACCTCTATTTTAAAACAAAGGCAGTAATATTAATAGTCTCAATCTGTATTTATGATTACAATCAGCACAGAATAGTTCACGTGCCATTACTGGCACACAAGTACTAATGAATGTCAAGCATATTATAGTAGCAGTACCAACAAACGCAACTATAATGAATAACCCTACGTGTAAAGCATGGTCAACAAAGTAGTAGTAGTAAAGCAGCAATATGACAGCCATTAAAAAGTCATAAAAGATGGGCAAAGGCTTCATTGATTTGTCAGTCTTAACATAACAGACAACATTGGCTTTACCTGATATGCAATGCATCAACCACTAACAAACAAACCCTAAAATAACTCCAAAACCAGTGACACTCATAATTATGAGATTCACAACCACCCCCATTAGATTAGCCTAACTGACCACACATAACATTAAAAGAGCTAATTAAACCCCCTCTCTCTGTCTCTCTCATTCCACTATTTTTTTACCCTAATTTGTTACTGCTTTTTTTTTTCTCTCTCTTTTTCCTTTTATGGAACTAACTATACATGACAAGAGTACAGTAGAATTGACTCTCATGATCTCATCTCCGGAAAAAAAGCCACTTTTTCAGCACATCTTCGTCACACACCCAAATGCATTATTAATGGCTAACCATATATATATATATATATATATGTATATCTTCAGCTTTTGTCCTTTTGTTATCTTCTTGTATTGTCCTTCAACTCTTTTCCTTTCCTTCTTTAAACTTGCATCAACAGTAGAGCTTGCTTGAAACCCCCCAAAACCCACTTACCTTTAACTTTTAGCCTCTTTAATTTACTCCAAGGAAATCAATGAAGGGCATGCTTTTCTTCTCATCATTTTCTGATCCATCCATGCTGGTCTTGTAATTGTTGCCAACTGACTCTGTTGCTGAAACCTCTGAGTTTGAGTCTGATTTACTGGATTGGTCTACACCCATCGCCGTTGGTCCATACAACTGGTCAACACCCACATTAATTCTTATTGCCACCATTTTTTCCTCTCCAGATGTGCCTACAATCCCAATTCAAAACAATTTTTTAAAAAATAAGTATGAATAAATAATTCCGACTATTTTGATTTGGTTGTCTAGCGATTTTGATGTCAGCTTGTTGGATGTTAGGTACAGGTCTGTATCATGTAACTCTTTATAAACTATAGAGTATACATGCATATAATTTAGCAAAACAGAACAAGTTAGGAGAAACCAATTAGATAAAGATAATGAATTAAGTGAAAAATTGATCATACCCATCTGCAGACCATAAGGATGAAGCTGGTGCTGAAGTGCTGGATTAAAGCTAGTGAGAAAAGCAGGAGGCAGTACAACTCTGGTTGAAGAAGATGGAGTAGCGAGGGAGAGATCGTGAGTAGTGCATGTTGATGCAGCAGAATGATCATGATCAATATTGTTATTTGTATTGTTATTGGTAGTGATGGTTGATTCACTACATGCATTGTTTGTGCAATTAGTAGTGAATAATGTTGTGATGACAGGAGGAGGAAGTCCCTTGGGAAGTATTTGGCGATTTCTTCTGATCCTGTAAAAACTGTTCTTGTCTCTGTGCTTCCTTGCCATGATCACATGCCAGTGATTCTTCACTGCATTATCAGTCCTCCCAGGGAATAGCCTAGAAATCATAGCCCATTTGTTACCATACATTCTATGCGCAGCTAATAGCTTTTCCTCTTCTTCCTCTGTGAAACTCCTCTTGTTAATCCTCGGATCTAGCTGGTTAAACCATCTCAATCTGCAACTTTTCCCTAAAATAAGTATATTTAATTAAAATTAACAGAAATTTCAATAAAAATTTTATAAAGGGTACTTTTTTTTTTTTTTTTTTTACTAGTAAAGATTCAAGCATGATGATCAAAATCATTTTCCCCAAATTTCAATCTTTTTTTTAAAAATAATAATAATAATAATAATAATAATAATAAAAACAGGATGTGTGTATAGTTAAGAGTACCTGATCTTCCTTCGAACTTCTCAGCAATCAAGTTCCAGTTTTGAGGACCAAACTGTTCGACAAGGTCTTTGAGTTTGGCATCCTCATGAGGTCTCCAATGGCCTCTGACACAGAGCTTTGTGTGCCCACTACTTCTCCTCTGATCAATCTCTTCAATACCCTCATCACATAGATTCAAAGCAAGCCCTTTTTTGGTTGTCTCAACGACTACCCCAGAAGTAGTCCCAAAGCTCAAGTCTTTAATCCACTTATTTGTTCCCCTGGCTTGTTCAAATGGGTGATCATCAACGTTCAAAATCTGAAAACCCATTCTTGAATCATCATGGGACTCCCTCTCTTGAAGATTATTATTGTCCACAGACAGAGAAAGTTGAGGCAGAAAGTTGATGCCACCAGCATGAGTAGTCTTGAGGTTTTGAAGACTCATTGTGACTCAGAATCCAGATGAACCCAAAAGGCAAAAAGGAAAACGATTCTGGGAAAATGAAGGAAAACAAGAAAAATGCAATGGAAATGAAAGAAAAGATTGGAGAAGCTTTAAGAGAAAATGAGAAGGAAAAAAATGAAATTTCCTCTGTGTTTCTCTTCTCTTACCCTTGGAAGAAATGAACTGGAAAGAAAAGGAAACAACAAAGGTTTAAATGAAAGGGGATGGAGAAATTGGTTATATAGTAGTGTGTCGAGGTAAAAGAAGAAAAGGAACAAATGAAGCACACGAATTCACTTAATCTGCTCTCTCTTCTTTTTATCTGTCTGAGTGAATGATTCCATTCATGTGAGGTCAGGGTGCTTATTTTGAGAAGGATGGCTTTCTGTCTCTTCTCTCTTCTCTCTCTAAAGCAGCAGTAGCACGTGTGCATGCAAGTCCATAACCGCTCGTGTGGGTGGTGGGAGTTATAAAACTCTCTCTCTTCCTTGAGAATGCCAAAATCTCTGTTGGTTTGTGAACCTTTTTTTTTTAGCTTTTCAAAGAAAAGGAAAACCATATTCATAAAAGACAATGCAAGAGTCTTAAAAGACCACATGCCCCATCTATGCCCGTTTCTTTGCGAATTTGTCCATAGCACCCGTAAATTGCTGCAAATCAACCCATCCCCTTTCTCATCATCACTTTTAACTCACCTACAACTTTTAGCTTCAATTCGCCTAGTAGTTATTAGGATGATCCCAAATCGATTCTAATAGGAATAGAGGAAGTGTGCAAGAAAATATTACACTCGAGTTTGTTTAATCTTTTTACTCTTCCTTTTAAAAATTTAAATCTAAACAATTTTATAAAAATAAAGAAATTGAGAAAGTTATAAGAAAAACGTTACGTTATTTATGATGTGGTACGGACACACATGAGTGAAAAGAACTGTTTTAACTTTTTTATTTTTGTAAACAACTTTTGTGTTTTGTCACTTAATACTTGATGAAGCGATGAATCAAAATTCTCTCCGGTGCATTTTGCTTGCCTCTTATTACAATTTCGTCACATTTATTTTAAAATTTTATTACCATACTAGTGCAACCAATTTTTATTTAAAAGTAAATTATAAAGTACAAGACAATATCAACATGTGCATCATTAGATTAAGAGTTTAATGTCACATCCTGTCATTGGAGATTACGCGATACAGTGACACACGTTCTGAGTAACATGTTACATAACATCTACAATGGAGGAGGGGATTCTGAAGTTTTCCAGAGTGATAGGGAGAATTTTAGTATGTAAAAATATGTGTAGAAGTGTAGAGAAGGTAAAAGAAAGTTATGTATGAACGATATGCATCCTAAACGTTCATTGGTTGATGAGATGCCTATAAATAAGTAGCAGTATTCATTTGTAACCACCAATACTAGTACTATAGTGAGACCTTGGGAGTTAAAGGGTAGTGTTAAAACTAACTTTGTACAAAGCATTCTTACATAATAGTAGAAGTGTTACAGTGCTCAAATGTGCGCGAGTGTGCAAGCAGCTTGTGTGTGGGCAAATCCAACATAATGCAGGCAAAATCTTAAAGATGAATTCAAAGTCCTTTATTGTTTTTGACCATCTTTCAATACAACATTTTGCTACACTGGAAAATGAATCAATTTGGTCAAATAATTGTCTTTTTACGAATTCATAACCAACGAATATATGCAGAGCATACAGTCATCTTAACACAGCCAAGGAATGTCTACAGACAGTGATCTCTATGGGCAATCAGTAACAAAAAGATGGGTAGGTTTTTGTCCCTTTTGTACCAAGAAATTAAACATTATAGGCAGCCTTTGTTGAAAATATAAAGACACATTTAGGGTATATCTTTTCGGCATATATTTCTTGACCACAAATTTTTTTTTTTTTTTTTTTAATTGTGAAATTTAATCAATCAATAAGAGAATAACTTTCCCAAACATCAAGGTCTTAATTATAACAAACCCATCAACTCAGATATAGAATAACAACTAATTAGTCCTTTATTGTTTTAGTGTTTTTTCCCATGTGAGTAATTGTAATAGTGACAAGGATCATCTAGTTTCACTGCACCTACAAGGTACATATTTTAACGTGTTTGACAAACAAACTTTGTGTTTAAAGGTAGCTTGTTTGTCATTAATTTGCTTTTGTCCTTCCTTTTGTTTTACTAATGAATTAAACAAGCAAAATAACAAAAATATTTAAAGTATTCATGTTGACAAGTAATTTTGATCATTATTTTGCAATTTCAAGAAAAAACCAAAATGGATGTTATGTCATCTCACTGATATTAAAGAATAAAAATCATTGTCTAAGAACACATTTTTCATCATTTTTTATGATCTGGGAATATTAATGTTAAAATTTTTATAGATCTCATATTACATTCGGTAAAGATTTATGATACATGTACAGGGTGTACTAGGGACAGACTTACAGAGGAAGGCGAAGGGCAATTGCCCCCATGAATTATTATTATTTTTTCATTAAATACTAGTAGTTTTTCTTATTTTTAATTATACACCTACGAAATTTTAGCATTACCTCCCTGAAAAATAAAATAATAAAATATTATTATTATTTCATTAAATACTAGTAGTTTTTCTTATTTTTAATTATACACCTACGAAATTTTAGCATTACCTCCCTGAAAAAAAATAAAATAAAATAAAATAAAAATAAAAATTACTTTTGTCCCCCCTCAATATCCTAGGTCGGTGTGTACTTCATATATCCGAACTTGCCCCACAGATGTATTAAAAAATGGACATTCTCGCTTCCGCTTCATCCACCGTTGCTATGGAAGCCCTTTTTTGGAATAATTCTTTTATTTGCTCCTCAGCCTACGGGATATTACCAGCCATTTCCAAGTCGTTGTTCCCCTCTCAAGAGTATCATCATATTGTTAATTGTACAAAGAAAATATTATTTTAACTCAACAGTTCAATTCTTTAGAGTAAGTTATTGTTTGATAACTCGATATTCAATTTTGAATGAATTAAGTACTTATACAGATAAATTAAATTTGATAACATAAAAATTGGCCATCACTTAAAAGAAAACTACCACTTCAAATGAGTTAAAAATTTTAAATATCAAAGACTAGACTTATTTAATTTTCAGCTCTTAAAAATTATAGCACTTAATTCTCATTTTTTTTTTTCGGAAGGTAACTTAATTCTCATTTTTATTATCCATATTATTGCAATCCTTGTATCCAAATGAATCATTCACCTTTCAACATCACTGCTGCATTTTGACTGGTCTCGATAAACACTAGAGAGAGCATCCGTGTCCCTCTCGCTGTCACTCTTTATATTCATGTATACTTAGGTATGTATATATATATATACACACACACTCTGCAGAAGAATACGATTTTCAGTCATTGAAAAAACCGAAGGAATCAATTGCGTTAAAATTGATCCACTGACTTCAAGACCAGTCATGTTAAAATTTGTTATCATTTTAGAAAAATATAAATTTGGAATTAAGCTAAAAAAAACCAAGATGCATGTACTCTTTGTTTTTCTCCACCTGCTTCTATCTGCATTTCCAAGAACCCAAATCACCCAGAGTCCTTGAAAATAGTATTAAAATATAGTCCATAGAGTGAATCAGCCCACAACAAAATCAAATGGAGGTTGGACTTTTCATTAGTTTCTTGATAAATAAACCAACATTTTCCCAGAAGCCAAACAATGACATATATACATAAATGTATCATGAGGTCGAGGACATGCAGCGTAGTTATCCACATAACTTTTAGCACCAAAGTATTATAGTTCTAAGTTCTAACTAAGACACGCTTGTCATCTATATTTTCAACAACATTATAATAATCCTTCAAATCTCAAAAATGTCGGCTCATTGTTCGTTGCTATATGTTCTTATATATATTAATTAATTAGTATTTCATTATCTTCTATAATAAAAAGCTAGGTTACAACAAAACCTAGATGTCCCTCTCATGGTCGTTGTTTGATAATTTGAATTGAAATTCGTTATTGGACTCCCTAGATCTAGATGTCGATTTTAAACTAACATATATGAATTGATTTGTGTTCTGACAAATAAAAGTTTGATTATTTTAAGTAATCATCAGTTTAAAATATTGGAAGCTTTGGGATAGAATTGACATGTTGGAGAATATGCATGTCGATAATTGAGAGGATATTCAACATCAAGTTTAGTCTTCTCCGGGATTAGGCGGTTTGTTTGGGTCAGAATACTTATGAATTGTTAATCCAAGACAAAGGTAATCATGAAAATTTTCAATGTAGCTTTATCATAAATAAAAATAATTAATTGTCACTATGCATTTTTCTGAGCTTAATTTTATTAATTCACATAAAATTTTAAATAAAATAAACCACTACAATATTGAATTTGGATTGGGTGCAGTACAACATGTGATTGTATAAAATATGCATAGAATATAGATATATATTTATTTAGCTCTAATTGATTTTTTAATTTTTAATTTTTGGATGAAAAATCAATAAATGGAGTCCCGAGATTAGAGTTTATTCTTCCATATGTTAGCTTAAACTTTTTCCGGATGTGAGAGATTTTGGAGATTATGACGGGAGAGCTTGATTTCTAGAGATTGAAATCTCTACAGTGATGCGGTGCTTCTCTCCTGTACTAAATAATTGGATAAACATTTATTACCTTTAAAATTTGTCAATATTTCACATAAACCTTCTTTATATTTCATAATCCCCCTACCTCCCTTGTAATCTCGCTTTCCTCTTCTATTAGTAACTAGAACGTCAATTTTGTTCTTCCAATACTTGAAATGACTGTAAACATTTCGTGAATAAAACGATAAAATAACACACTACGAGAGACAAGAATGAGATTATGAAACATGGCGAGAATTTATGTTAAATATTGACCTAGGTAAAATTTACCCTGAACAATTTCTCCAAATATGAGATGCAAGATGCAAACCCCCCTAAACCCTCCTGGCATGTAACATCTTTGATTCTTTCCAATAAAAGTTGTAACCTACACACACACACATATATATATATATATAGATATACTGAAATCAGTTACAACAAAGAGTGAAAAGCATGGAACCTTTTACGCCAATCTATATAAAACTCAGTTACAACGTGATGAGAGAGAGTGGAAAGCATGACTCCGCAGAATCAACGAGTAGAACGTTGTTGGATTAGAAGCTTGTAAATCTGGTTATCAAGCTGCCAACACCCATATTCATTGCAATTCTTCAAATATTTGCTCCAAATCCTATCCAGTAAATTTACCCCGAATTCCAAATTATGAATTTTGTTCAAAATCCAAATCTTGCCAACACTGAGTTACAAGATTTTTTTTATATATATAATTAACGGATCAGTGGCCCAACAGTATCAACCTCTTACTTTTCAAAGGGAAGTCAAGAATTCAAATCTCAAAAAAGGCAAGTGTGTATCAATATCAACTAAGAGGAAAAAAAAAAAAAAAAAGATTTTTATGTTGGTTGTGGAAGGAGTCAATAGTCAACTCCAATGGACATAAAATTGTTCAAGCTTGACCAACTTACAACTGACCTAATCTGTTTCGACTCCCATTTGGACCTCCGCTTTTGGAAGACAAATCATTTTCCTTTCTGATGGGCACCATAAACATAGCCCTTTTACCAACATACATTTACATACATACATATATATACATCCATATATATATATTTAACCATGTTGTTAATCAGGATTTGACTACATGTTTTACAATGTCTAGACGTGTTGGCATTCAGTTCTTGTAGCAACTGAAGGTAAAAAAGAGCACATCGATTAATGATTGAATGAATGAATCAAGAAAAAAACAAATAACAGACATCAACATTTCTAGCCAATTGACAGTCCAGTGCCTTAAAAACCTCCTTTTCTCCCATCTTCCCCTCTGTCTGTCATTTACAAGTGTTACAATTTAGTCAAAAAAGTCTGTCGCAAGCATATATTGTACTTACTATCTTCTTCAAGCTGCGTTCCAAATGTTCACCTCATATCCAAAACTGCCTAGCCAAAGAGTATTTGTTTTTGGCTCACTCACCAAAATTACGCGGCAATGGAGCTGATCTTAGCCCTTTTTCTTTAGGGGCATGAGAACGAGAGAGTCGCCTAGATTTGTGTAACTTCATTCTCATAGCAGGAACCTTACGGGCCACGGCCTGCCATATCATTTGGACAGCATCACCTTCCTTTGAAGGGTACTGAAACTCAAAGAAAGTTTCAACCTCTTTCAGCCTCACCCACATTCGAGTCCATTCATCCTTTCCAATGCTCCTGATAAGGTTTATAAGAAATTTTTCTTTGAGAGCATCTGATGTACGTACAAATATGCAGAACTCAGAGTAGTCCAGGACATCTTCATACGGGAGCTCAATGTCATCACTGATGATAACAGGGACACAATGGCTAGCAATGGCATCAAAAAGACGGTTTGATGATGGAGTGTCACCAGCTATATTGAGGCAGAATTTGGAGGAATGCATACCACTTGTAGCTTTTCTGATCCCATCTCTTTGGACAGTACCAAAAGAGAAGTGCACTTCTTTTTCATCTTTTAGAAGATAGAATAGCTCTTGCCTAGCAAAACCACCCTGAAGATGAGAAACCAATAAGAAAAGAATCAGACGAATAACAAAGGAAACTTAATCTGAAATATTAGAATGAACCGGAGGGCAGAGGAGTTGACACAAAGGATAAAATCGTGTTGCTTGCTTTACCATGTATTCTGCAATCCAAGGTATAACAATCATATGAGTTGGGAATTGTTTGTGGATTGCCAGAAGACTATTGGCCTAGAAAGTATTTGATGAGAGCAATAACATCACAGAATTGCATAAATCAGATGGCTGGGAGCCATTATCTTGGTGATGATCAACTCGAAATGCTTTCCAACTCCTAACACCCACTAATTACCTTGTTCCTGTGATTCTATTACTCAAGGCAACCTGGCCAAAAAAAAAAACACTAAGATTGAACAACTGACCTCCAAATCCACCACACGAGGAACAGTCTGACCCAAAAAGTTTTAAGTCAAATTGGAACTGTCAGAAAATACTGACATACACCCCAAATTAAAGAACACGCTATGCATCCCCAATCACCTTAATATCTATCACATCTTCAAGAGCTTCTCAATCAGTGCCAACTTCTAATCATAAAAGGATTTCTAAAAATTTGATATTCTAAGGCATATTCCTTACTCTCCCTCCAACACATGACACTTTGACACCCTCATCAACCACGCAATGCAGAAATAAGGCCAGAGACACCTTTCCTAAAGGCATCTTCTGATGCCAAATGCCATTCACAAAATAAAAACCTCACTGCCATACCAAACCACAAAACCTTCACCCCGTGCCAAACTTCCTCAACCACTCTTATAAGCCCTTCTGAATCCCCACATAGTACAATCTTCTCAAATCATTGGAATTCCAATCATCATAAGAATTTTTTTGGTGACAACCAAGCAGATAGACGCATTTTGTTACTGATAGTCATGAGAACCTATCCTCAAACACGAGAAATAAAAATAAAAATGATGTAAGGTGTTTCCTGTTCTTAAGCAAGTTAGTGCACTGAAGCGAAGAGAGAGGGTGACACAAACTTATATCTTCTTAATGTAGGTTCATTCAGACATCTTACAGTATCAAAAAGGGAAAGGTACAAAGTTGCTGGTCTCACTTACCCACAAAAAAAATTACATCAAGATTTAATTCACCCAAATCTCCATAAGGTTGCCAAGAAGACTAATAAAGCCATTTTGGTGGCTGGAATGGTATAACATACTTAATTTCCTTCTCCCCAGCCTTTTAAGCAACAGAATAGCACATAAATGGATTGATAGAAAAAAGTCCAACTCAAGTTAAGTAAATTAATAAAATTTCTTACTGAAATCAAACATTTGAAGCTACTCTTCCTCTAAATTGCATCATCTAGAACCATGAATTGTGATTTCGGAAAACCACCAAATTAGTTAGATTCCCATATGTGTAATTGCAAATATAACACAAAGTAAAATGATTCGTCTGTTTGATATAAAGAGGAGAAAATATGTTTTATGACTTCATAAGAATGGAAGTCTCAGAATTCAGCTAACAACCTGAGCTTCGAAGTTGAAAAACCAATGATGATTTCAACATAAAATAAAAGTAAAGGAACTTAATTATACTTCCCTTACAAGTCTCAACAGCTACATTGTTGACACCACTTGAAAATCCACTCGTTTTTTTTTTTCTTTCTTTTTCTTTTTCTTTTTCTCTCCCACCCTTTTGGCGAGACTAATCACCTCCTGACACGTGACAAGCCCCAATGTCACGTGCCAGTTCTAATTCAAGAGGCTTGCCTCAGGGAGGGGAATCAAAGTCAAAGGTGTATTTCTTAACCAAATCTTCCACCCCCTTGGGGTTACTTTCTCAAGTTAAGAAAATACTATACTTCTAACTCGAACTTCAATAAATCTAAAAGAAGCTGCAACATATATAAACTGCCTAAGTTTTCACCTTTGTAACAGGCATAGCATTCTTCAATCAAAAATAGAAATAGAACACTAGAATTTCTACTCTACATACAACATATCTACATTTTCCTCACTACTTATACCTTGAGCTATACAAATTAGTAATAGAGCAAAAGGGATAATGGAAATAGGGACAAGTCATAATTAGAATTAATGATTGGAAAAAATTGAAAATCATACGAAGATTGTAAATTTAATTAATCCAGAAAATAACTAAATAAATAAATGAATGCATATCAGTCTAAGCATATGTCTGAAACTAGGCATGGTAAACAAAGCATGTAAAACAAGTTTTTGTTGGATTATATAGCCAATTATTAGTCAAAAAAAGAGAGTAAAGGATCACATTTACTGGCAATTGACAAACAAAAATTTCTTTTCCAACCTCTAAATTCTAAAGAAACGACTAATAGAAAGATTAAGGGAAGAAGATCACATACATCTTTTCTATAAATGGCTCCTTGAAAGTACAGCAAAGTTGGACGGCTATCAAAATCAGATAAGTCGTTGACAAAGGTTCTGATTACATGCTTGTAAGGTGCAATCACATCTTTCTCTACATTAGCTATGTTTGGGGGGTACCTTCCAAAATCTGCGAGTATGAACATCGCAGGCCAAAGCTTCGTCCTTGCATCTAGCATGCTATTTGGATGATGGGCTAAAATTATATGGTCACATCCTCCTGACCTCTTCCATTCCTCTTGAGCTGTCAAAAATTTAACCAACTTTTCCTGTAGCAATGTGTTCTTGCTCTTCTTTTCGTGCGGCTTCAATCTGGAAAAGCGATTCAAGGATAAGGAGGAAAAGAATGGAACGAATATGACATCAGCTTCGCTTGAGTTGTGGACTCTTATTGCAGTATGAGCACTGGCTGGGTCAGCATATTCCGACGAGAGAAGATCCAACGTTAGCCAATATTCTATGCTGTGTTGTAAGTTTAATCCACCAGGATATTGAGGGATTTTGGTTCGAATATCGGGCCAAACACTTCCTCCATTTGCCTTCCAATCTAAAAGCTCAAAATGAAACTCCGGGGGCAAATCATACATGAAAACCTTAAGGGCTACTTTATTTGAATTGTCTTTCACCAAAGCATTATCTTTGGATGCTTGTACTTCTTTTCCAACATTCATTGGATTATTCAACACTAAAGGTTCATCTTCACTCTGAATATGGGGTTTAGAATTCCTCTTATCAATCCTGGCAAAGACCTTGGAATTGGGTATCAAACTATGGTTAATGAAGTGATTATGGCCAGTGGAACGCAACACAAAGAACCAAGACAATATGAACAAGACGGTTGTGATAGAAAACAAATAAAACAATGATTTCTGAGAAATAAGCCCAATGGAGGGTGCATTTCTCTCAGCCATTGCACCCCAATCCCAAGAATCACTAGTCTGTTTTGTAAAGCATCTCTCTTCTCTATTCCCAAAAGATGACACAATCCAAACAAAATTGTATGCGCAACTACAGAATGAAACAAATTAATCTTGATAATTAAGATTAAAACACATACAGACCCCGACAGGCCATACACTGATTAGAGAGGAGATATGAATGAAGACACAGAATAGTGAAGAAGGTGAAGACGACATGCAAATTAAGCCGAAATTCGAACTCACCCAAATTCAAAGGTTACCCTATAACAATCACGTCAATAGAACCAGAAATCAACCATCTATTCATTGCCCATTAAGAACACTCATTACAACAATTCATTTTCTCTCTCTACATTTGTCAGATATAATAGAAAAACAAAACCCAGTTCAAGAACAATCATCCAATGTGAAACAAAAGCAACCCAGATGAATTTGAATCTAAACTCGCCAATCCATCAAGAAAAAAGAAGGCCAAATCGACAAATTAATATATATAAATAAAATACTGTCAGAGAGAGTTTGAAAGGGAAAAAAGTTCACCAGAATATTGTGGTTCGTAGCGTAGAGGATATACAATGAACAAACGCAGAGGCTGTTGATCAGAAACACACACACACTCTCTCTCTTTCACTCTCCTATTTCTCTCTTTCTTTGTCTCTCTGAAAAAGACCCTTCAATTTGAAGTCGCGTGGGAATAGGGTCTATCTGTTGAAGCGGGCTCCTCCTCTTGTAATCTGAACATGTATGAGTAATGAGAGGAATTTTATTTCCAGTTATAGCTATTTTGTTGTTGGGACTATTACATCACTACTGATATAATTGCATCTTAATTTCAACTCAACCATCATTAACTAAACATACAGGGTGAAAAAAAAAATTAACTAATCATAAATTAATAGTAGTTAGGATAGTGATAGTATTTTACCAACTAAGATTAGATTTGGCATGACCTAAAGTCATCACCTGCCTCGTCCAAACAGGCGAACCCCCAAACCAAATAAAAAATAAATAAATAAATAAATTTTAGGGATAGTTTGGAAATAAGATAGAAATGGAATGAATCAGAGAATGGACTTTCATTTAGTTTTGCATGGCTTAAAAAAAGAAAACTAATATATATATATATATGTAAACCAAATAAATATATAAATATATATTCGTAAATATATATTTTCAATGTATATTTGGAAATTGAGGAGGAAATATCAAGAAAAAGTTGACTTTTATTGGATCTCATTGTTTGAAAAAAGTGTATTAGCTATCACATCGTTCAAGTAAAGCAATTTTTAATATTATTTTTACTCTGATTTTTAAAATTACTTTTACTCCGATTTTTAATATTATTTTTACTCCCTATTTTTTTAAATAGGGAATGAAATGTCTATTCCTGTTGTTGAAAAGTAGAATGATTTTGATGGAATGACTATTCTCCAAGAAATGTGAAGAATGGACATTCTATCTTTAAAATTACTTTCCAAACTAAAATAATGAAATTAAAAACATTCCATTCCATTTTATTTCATTCCATTCCCACTCACCAAACAAGTCCTAAGTTTGGTCCCACTTTATTACTAACAGAGTTTAATCTGTATCAAAAAAATTCCAAAAAATTGAGAATTATACGGCATCCACTAGGCTTGATGGGTCGACCCAGCCCAAGTGGATGGGCCCATTCAGAAAGTCCCTCGGCCTTAGTCTTAGGTCACTTTATCACTTTCCTTGTGGATATCTTCTAGTTAAACAACCAACAAAACTGGTTAACAAGTTGAAAGGGTTTTTCGGAAATTGGTATCCATACTATTTCTCCTAGAATGACTTCAGAAGCAAGGATTTAGGTTTTGGATGAGAAGGGGTTTTTTTGTTTTCTGTGGCAATCTTGTCTGATTTCTCTGTTCAAATTCTGCTGTTGTTTTTAGACTGCTCTGGTATCAGCTTTAGTTTTCTTTACACTAAAAATGTCACTGAAGTTAAATGTAAATTTTATTACATTGCTAGTTTATACATCATCGTTTTAAATTTTGAAGACATTGGCCTGTTGCTCTATAGTTCCACTTAAGAAACATACATACATCTTCAAAGGATTCGAATCCATATTGTGAGTTTTAATAATGGATACTAATATTGGTTGCATAGTGATTAATAAATGTCCAATGGGGAGGCAACCTAGTTGGCTGTTTTGGTTGGCAAGTAGGAATGTCTCAAACATATTTTCATGAATGCTTCAATTTAGCCCTCTAGACATGAGACATTCATGGATGCTTCATAAGTGCAGAACAGACACACATCAATACAGATATGGGGAATTGTAACTTAGAGAGAGAATCCCTTATTGAAGCTGAATCCAGAAAAGTTTATTGTTGCCCGATTGTGTTACCTATCCATTAAACGCACAGAAATACAACATACAGAACATAGATGCTTTTGCTCAAAACAATGGAAGGGCTAAATATGTCGAGTGAAGGCTAAGAACCCCCCACACAAGGATCAGAACTGGAACTGCATGTGTGGCGCATATTCAAGAGCCTCAAGGTGAGAAGCCATCGCCTTGTTCATTGGTGGTGGACCGCACCTCAAAATCTGCAGGTTCCAATATAAGAATTAGACCTTATCTCTTTCTTCCATCACTCGGAAAATTTAAAAGGAACATAATGCATGCGAATATAATCAAATCTGAAGAGTTCAAAATATACCTGAATGTCAGGAGATGGTGCAGGGCAGTGGGTTTGGATCATCTCCTTGGATACAAAGCCAACACCACCATTCCATACTTCAGGAGGCTGCAAAAGTAATCGAGCAGGAGAGTGGTTCAAAAGACAACACCAAAATAGTCGTACCTATATACTATGTACAAGTTCTCTCTATAGTGATACATTAGAGTGGGTCCACCTAGCATGAGGTACACACTCCTCTTTTATGCAAGTCATCTAACAAGCTAATCCGATCATCAGAATAAGGCACAATTACTTGATATGCTAACTGCAAACTTGGAATGAATATCAATTGAAAATGTTTTCAAGCAGTTAGCTGATCTGTAATACACAGTTCAAGCAACAGAATGTCACAATACGCCAATTTTTTTGTTGACAGAACCGGACATGGGAGCCTTAACAAGACTTCAAAAGTTACAATGATTAGCATCTCAAATGACATCCAGGAGCACCTGGTATTTGCCCATTTTTATGTCACACGCTAGTGTCTTAGTTAAATCCAATCATGTATATCCTTGTAATGTAATTGTAAATGTTGAGAATGAAAAAAGGACTTCTTTTTTTTTTTTTTGTTGGTAAGCCAAAACAGTTTTTTAGAGACTGGTGCAATGTTTACATAAATATAACAAATTTAGTAGCAAGAGAAAAAGTGGTAAAAGACGGAAAATAAAAATAAAAATACAAGATGTACTACATAAGAAAAGCAACTGACCTGATTCAGTACGTAGTAAATCTTGAAGCGATCAGGGTAGTTTGTAGCAAGACCGTCCAATTCTTCCTGCAGATTTCCAATATGAATTAATTCATTGCATTTCAAAGAGAGATCCAACATTTTTTAAAAAAAATAAAGAAGCAATAAATTGCTTATGAAAAAGGGGGGAAAAAAACAATAAATTTAGACCAGACCAAAATCAGCCTATCATCTCAAATTATTTCTGAAATATGAGCCAATTATCCTACATTACCATTTGTGATGCACTAGTACGAGTCACTAACCCGGGTCACCATTTGTAATGCACAAGTAAGAGCAACCAATCATACTCGCCATTTGTAATGCAATCCATATGAATTACTGCATGCATGTTTTCATGTCACGCCCCTTCCCAGATCCCACAAGATTAGGACATGACCCTGACTTAGAGGCCATAATAATCCCAAACCTCCTGTATTAGAAGGTCCGGGATCACCCATTACATCATAAATACAACATCCATAATAAATACAATTCACAAATCATAACTTTGTCATCAACTTTACCTCAAATATATTATTACAAAGTAAATCAGCTCAATTAACTAGGGGTGCACAAGGTTCGGTTCGGTACGGTTCCTGCCGGAACCAGTCTGAACAGTTCCTAAAAAATGGAACCGAAACCGGAACCGTGAGCAGTGGAACCGAACCGTGAAAAGGGTTCAGTTCCGGTTCGATTCCATGGAACCGTTGACCAAACTGAGACCGGAAAGAGAGGCTGAGATTGAGACTGAGAGGAGAGGAGAGGAGAGGCGAAGATCTGAGTAGAGGTGATTGAATCAAAGGCTGAGAGGAGAGGCTGAGACAGAGACCGATCTGAGTAGAAGTGATTGAATCAGAAAAAGTCGTCGATTTCCGAGCACCGCCTCCATCTTTGATCGGCTCCAGTTGCCGATCATCGGTCACAAACGCAGACGTTCTCACCAATTCTCTCGAACACTCTCTCCAGTCTCCACGTTCCGAACCTCATTTTACCGGATCGAGTCTTCCCTCGCCAAAAATCGACAGAAAAGCCTCCTAAAATTGACTTAATTAAATCAAAGGCTGAGAGGAGAGGCTGAGACAGAGACCGATCTGACCAATCCGACCGGTGATCTGCGAAGATAGAGACCAGTGAGAGGAGAGGAGAGGAGAGGAGGGGAGGCAGAGCCACCGAGTGTGTTTTGAGAGGTTAGTTCACTGAACCTAAAGCTTAGGTTTAGGTTTTGAGAGTTTTGTGACTTTTGATTTTTAAGACTTTTATCCAATCTGAATTATGAAATGTCGAATTGAATATGTGGATGTGGTCACTTTGAAAGTTATAGGCTAGACATGGCCCAGTCGCCCATAGACCACGGCCTACATCCCACAAATATAATTATATAATATATATATATATATATATATATATATATATATATGTATTACGGTTCGGTTCGGTTCGGTTCCGGAACTGAACCGTAAGATCGGAACCGGAACCGAACCGAATCTAAACGGTTCCTCGTTTTAGGAATTGGAACCGTGAGAACCGAAAATTCGGTTCCGGTTCCGGTTCCAAGGTTCTTTTGTGCACCCCTACAATTAACAACTACGATCACTCATCTCTTTGGGTTGTAAGACCTACTGACATCAATACCAAATTACATAAGATCCCCTCATCTTCGTCAATGAGGGTTTTATACAAGAATGAACACTTAAGAGCTTATGGGAAACAAGATGCGCACTCATGAGTTGCGCGTGTTTCAACATCACATTTGGAGAAGGGGAAAAGAGAAATAGAATTAGGAATTTTTGAAAATTAGGGCTACAAAAGTATGTTTCTTGTTACTTTTGTTAATGTTCAGATTTTAGGGTTATTTTAGTATTTTTCATATTTTAGGGTTCATTAGGGTTTGCTTAACGTTTAGCCTATATAAAGGCTCCTTTGTAAACATAGGTTTTCAGCTTTGGATTATTTGAATTATTATCGTGAGTTTGCGAACTCTCTCTGCATCTCTTTCTCCCACTTTGTTCTTGCTATTCTCAGTCTCTCTCTTTCAATCTATCTTCTCACCTTTTTTGTCTGTCTTCTCACCCTCTTCTTCTAGCCTCATCTTATCTTCTAATTCTCATCCCCTGCTTTCTTTCATGTGCTAAATCAATGTTACAACAAGCCTATTTGTCCTGTATCAGGAGCTGTACACAAGATGGCACCTATTTCTCTCTCTCTCTCTATATAAGATGGCTCCTACTTTTCTTCCAAAAAATAAATAAGATCACATCAATGCCATCCATTCCCATGTTATCACATACACACAGCATATTCACATCTGTAGAATATGTAAAGAGGGGGTAACGAGCACGAATGCTCACTGGGAAACAGGATCTGGTTGTCGAATATGAACACGTTGGACCTTAAAACATGCACATCGAGTAGCATACACTATATTACCTCGGTAGATTTTAACACACAACTTAAATTGAAGAGGGAGGGGGGGTTCCTACCTTCAAAGGATTGGAGTCCTTCCACTACTCCTATATCTATGGTGACCGGTGTAGTTGGTCAATTCTATTCTCGCTCGGACTGTCCGCGAGTTCCAACATAGTCTTGTTTCTATTTACTCTCATTTTTCTTTTCTTTCTTTCTCTTCCATCAATAAAGTCTTCTGGGAATTTTGTCCAAGATAAAGTATTGACATATAAACTTCTATTCAAAATCTGATCCAATTTATCGTAATCGATTAGTTAACACTTAACATGTTGGTTAACCGTATTCTAGAACATGGAAAAAATATTGTTTATCAAATTCTCTATCGAGCCATGAAAAGATTCAACAAAAGACGGAAACAAATCCACTAGCAATATGTGGGGTAACTCCCAATATATAGCCGTAAAAGCAAGAAGTGTAGGTGGATCGGCTCTATTTTCAAAGGGTGTTGGGCTACACACAAGACATCAGCAAGTACTTGGTTCCATAAAGAAATGTTATGTGAAAATCCTTTAGTTTCACAAAAATGTTTATGGCATCCAGAGAATGGGGTGGAAAGATGAAATGTTTCAAAGATTGTTGGAAGCAATAAAATATGTTGATCAATTATCAAAGAATCATTAGAGTTGCAAGTAATCTAGGAAGCACGGACACTCCAAAATGGGCGAAGAATCCGTGTCCGACACGTGTCGGACACGAACACGCATCGGACACGCCCCGACACGTGTCGGACACGCCAAAAAACGTGTCTGGAATTTTTTTATTTTTTTTAATTTTCGGACACGGCTCAGACAGCTCGGACACGGCTCGGACACACTTTTCTGGAATTTTTTTTTTTTAAAAAATTTTTAATGCTGATATGTTCTATTTTTTGTTTTGTACTATCCTAAAGATGCTGATATATATATATACTAACCTAAAGATGCCACAATTCGCCGTGTCCGTGTCCTAAAGATGCTGATATATATATATACTAACATATCAGTGATATATATATATATATTCCAACCTAAACATATCAGTGTTTTTTTTTTTAAAATTATTAATGCTGATATATATATATATATATATATATATACTATTCGTCGTGTCCGTGTCCTAATTTTTTTGGATTTGCCGTGTCGCCGTGTCCGTGTCGTGTCGTATCCGTGTCCGTGCTTCTTAGCAAGTAATCAAACTGAAAGATGCTCTTTAAGCTATTACGTATCAAATATCCCTAGTCTTTAGTGAATGAGAGGTAGGCTCCCAGACTATGGTGCAGGAGTGAGAGTGGCAATTATGGAAAATACCATAGGATCCAAAGTGCCTATATGTTATATATATGCATATCTATGAGAGATTGATTTGCCACATCAATGTAATTAATCTAAAGTACAACAGTAACAAAGGTCATATTACAGCATATTAATGCACGTTCGAGCCTCCATAGTAACAGAACCTTAAAAATTCATGAAATTCTTGGTAGATTTGATAGATAGGCAACTCAATTTGTGGTCAAATCCATGCTTCAAAAGTCAAACCTGCAGATTATATAGGATTTCATTCCCATACTTTTATCCACGGATTTAACAGACATCTAGTGCCAATTGTCATCACTTAAGTGTCACTATTGAGACTAGAGCAATCAAAATTCCGATTTTGGGCCAGCGGTTTACAGAATCTTCATTCAAAGGAAAAATAATTCTCCAAGCAACCATGTCCTTTCAAGGAGAATGCGCAATGGCATTTTATGTAACCTACCTTTAGTGATAATTTCTCGAGACATGTTTCTCGAGACATGTCTTGATCTTCCCCTTCTTCCAACATTACCCTTCTTAATAAGGATCATGTTAATATTGTGATAGAGAGTTGTGATTCAAATTCTATTGTTTTCAAAGGAGGAGGAGCTTGAAAAGCCCAAGAGTTTGCAAAAACTGAAAACAATTCTGATTCCTTGATGAAGTCTTGTTTTGAGAAGAACGTGGCATCTTTGTCCAAACTTCAAAGAAAAACTTTTAAATGACAAGAAGCCCAAAAGGTCTTTTCAAAATCTGAAGAATAAAATGCAATAAAAATTTAGATTAGGGCAAAATGCAGACAACCCCTCCCTCACTTCTCTTGAACTATCAATTTTTTGCAAATACTCCCCATGCTTCTCTTGAACTATCATTTTTTTGCAAACACCCCCCTGACATGAGATAAATAAATAAATAAAAATAAAAATAAAAATCTTCTCAAATTTGCAAATAGAAAACGCGTAGCCAAAAAAACTAAGCGCCACGTGCTAACTGCATTGTAATTCCCATCTTCAATGAGCAGAGATGGCTTCAACTCCCGAAACAAGTGAAATATCTTCCATTCTACTTGGGTGATAAATCATATTTGACAAGGTTTAAATATTTGGCTTCTCCAATTTTACTTATCAAAAAAAAAAAAATGGCTTCTTCAATAAAGTGAGAACTCCCCAAATATAATAACAGTGAAATAGAATATATCAGAAAAAAAAAAAAAGAGAGATTATAAAAAGATACCTTTAGAAGAATGTCCTCAAATGTCACATTAGCATAAATGAGATGCACCTTTGTTTTGTCTTTGGGGTTTTCTAATATAGCTCTTGCAACCTAAAATGAAAAAGAACAAAACAATTGGAAATATAATGACATCAAGATCTCATGAAAGACAAAATATAAATACCGATTCCCAGATACACACCTGGAACATCGGAGTAATGCCAGAACCTCCAGCAAGCATTCCAAATGCTCTCACTTGGCCAGGTTGATACTTGAAGCGGCCCTGGTACAATAAAGCTGACGAGGTAAGAGCACTTTCACAGCAGTTATAACTTCACATCTTTTAAGTCCTGTTAGAGCTTCTTATCAATTAAGTGGCAAAGGCTCAGATTGCTAAGCTTGACAATGTGGGTTCGAGTCCCAAAGGCAGCCAATTTGTTCAAATGATGTTAAAAGTTAGTCTGTACCTAATTTTGCACTCCCAAAACCTCCAAATTTGGAGAACAAAAACTGGGTAAATGACCTTTTATCAATGTGGCATATATTACAAGGAGAATAATCCAATTCCATTACTATGAGAGAACCATTAACTTTACGGCCCACATGACTACATAAAGGTTTATTTAGGGATTTAATGTGTGGCACAAGCAACAATTTATTTCTAACGGTATTATTACAAAATGTTATTGGATAGCTTGCTTGAAATAAAGACAATAGTTCAAAATTGTTATCTTCAATTCCTTAAAATCAGGTTCTTTGATGTTATCAACTGAACTACAGTGAGCAAAGTTTAGCATTTGTGATTTTATCACTCAATGCAGCTTTGCTACTAACGTCCAGAGGAGCTGCTTTTTCGCAATAATATTAATGCATGTGTTATTTCATGAATATTGCCAACTCTTCATCAGTTCGCATAGGCCAAAAAAGAATAGCATTACCTTATACATATTGCAGTTTAAATACCTAGTAGTTCTAAGCACCACACAAATCATATGAAGAAAAGAAACAAGTACAGAATCATAACTTTCAAAGTTTTAAAGTGAATATTCAAACCATGTCCACTTCTGTTCATTTTGAAATCATGCTAAAAATGCAGAGTCCAAGGGAAAAATGCTGCTTCAATTAATGAAAATTTTGATGGTTAAAGAGATGCTATGGTAAAGTGAACAAGCAATTATAGGAGGGGCAGAAACAAGAGTCAGTAATTGCTTTGCACAATCAAAAGGGAAGAATCTGTCTGTATTTAGTTTTTTTTTTCCCCATAATACAATATATACTTTGAAACTCATTCATCAAATAATTAAGAAGGATTTCTAACTAAAAAAATAAGCTAGATTTCGTAAATACATGAAATCCTTTCTATATATCCAACAGATATTACATCACATAACTAAGACAGTAGTGATAAAGCTTTAAAACAAGTGAAATCCTTTAGTGGTATAATCACATGTTACAGTATCTATGGGTTTGAAGGATCTGGTACAAACTCTATTCAGCTTTATCGTGTCAATAGAGACAAATTTTCAAGTGATTTTGGTAAAATAAGCGAAAATGGCATAGCATCTTTGCCTTTTAGAGGAACTCACTCACCTTCTAGTAACAAGTATGCATTCCCAAACAATATAAAGAATTTAATTGACCATGTAAAGAAGAGAAAACACACCTTGGGCCCCTTCACTGCCAGATGATCACCTACACGCATTTCTCGGAAATGGTGTGACATCCTTCCTTGCGGGTACATCTACTTATGAGGCAAAATCAATACCACAGACCCCATTCGAATCAGACAAAGATTGAAGTATCTAATTCAATCAAAACATAAATAAAACCAATAATTCCAGGTCCAAGAAGAATTGAAGATTTTGGATAAATATACCTTTATAACTAATTCGAAGTATCCAACATCGGAGTCCAAAGTAGTTGGGGTGTATGGTTTAATGACATCTTCACCTAGGTTATCCTTACCCCTGAATATAAATTGATAATATTAAAATGGCAAAAACAAGAGAACAAGGATAGACCCAATCCTGGATGATCAAGAAATTCCAAGCATGCGGCCAGAATAAAGAATATTTTTATCTACATATAAATATACAGAGTTATTTACACACACAATAACATAGATCAAGAACCATTTGCCTTGGGTTAACTCAATCAACTGTACCTGCAACTTATATGTTGTCCAATAGGAAGACCCAAAACTGAAGTGGGTGTAGGTAGTTCAAATCTGAATTTCGCGACATTATGGCTAAGCTGCGTGCGCTTCACAAGCTTGAAATCCTTGAAGTTCTCTGGATCTAAGCATGCTATTAAGCACAACAACTGTTTAACTCAGTTTGCAGAACACTACAACTAACAAATTGGCAAAATATAAAACATATAAATGGGCAAGTTTGGATCCCAAAAATACAATTTTATTAAGAAAACAAAAAATTGACTAACAATTATATTTATGAATATGATCAAATACCACCATGAATAAAAATACTTGATATTCAGTAGAGAAGAAATTAAAACACACACAGACGAATATGAGAGAGAGTGAGACCTTTGGGTTTCTTGGAGGAAAAGAAGTAGGCAGCAGCAGCAATAACGGCAACAAGAGCAACAGCTACACCCAGATATTGGATTTCAGTTGTTTCTAAGAAATCCATTGATCTCTTTCTCAAATGTGAGAAATTTCAGGGGATTCTAGAAACAAGTAAAAAATTGGATATGAAGAATTGGGTTTTATTAGAGAGAATGGGTTTGTGTGTCAACTACCCGCATAGCTTTGAATGTTGAAATGGGAAAATCTGTCAAAAAAGGGCATCTCCGTGGGGTATAAAATATAGGCGTTAAATAAGAGTGGGTAGGTGAAGGTAGCACACAGACATGGTCTCACCAATCCTCAATTAGGTGCGCGGTATAACACAAACACACACACCAAATAATAACGACAACTTCGATTAGGACTAATTCTAGTATCTTTATCATCCTCTTTTTCTTTTCTTCTTTTCTTTAGTTATTTTTATTTTTATTTTTATTTTTATTTATTTATTATTATTATGACCGGTTGGTGGCATCGTTGTGCACGAGCTGGTATAAATTAAGGTAAGTTTTTTGGTTTTTTATACAAATAATAATGAATAAATAAATAAAGGTATATTAACATTTTTTTTTTTTTTTTTTTTTGAGAAGTATACATTATTTTTTATTTTTGAACAAGTTGTTCTAGGAGCGAAACAATTTTGAATAAGCCTCGATCAAAAAATAAGTGTTCTTTTTTAGAATTTAATTTTTTTGGAGAATAATTTTTATTATTTTTTATTATATAAGTAATGAATAAATTATTAAATTTATCTTTACTGTATGTAATGTTTAATTTTTATAGGTTTAATACAAAAAGATTAAATTAATAATATTATAAAAAATAGTATATTTATTTTTCAAATGAGAGACTATATTTAGGAACAAATAAAAATATATATATGCTACTATATATAGACTGGTATTATATTGGGATGGAGGGAAACACTTTGGTATGAAATGGAGTTAACCTTTCACCCTAGTTTGTACCAATTATACCAGGACTAAATGAAAATAATTACATATGAGAAAAGTCAAAGTTGGTGGATTTGACTTCAAAATCTTCGCTCCATTATTAGGTTCATTTACTACTAACTTCAATGCCAACCCAAAAAAAAAAAAAAACAGTATAATTGCACTCTGAGAATAAAGAGTCATATATCTGTTAAATATTAAATATTAAATATTAAGGCTATTTTCGGTGGCCATGCAATTAGAATTTTAAAATTAGATTTGTTGAAATTAAAAAAAAAAAAGTAATTCATAAAATTAAATTAAATTTTTTATTAATTTTATCAATTTCAAGTCAAAAACTTCAACTCTATACAGGGGAACATAGGCTAAAAGTAATAAAAAATCATTTCAAGGCCTATGAATTTATTGACCTACCATAATTGCGACAGCACATTAGGATTGACCTTTGCACAATGGCGTTTGGCCATCATCTATTCTATTCTTATTACTTATTCATCCCACAAATTAGAAAAAAGTAAACTCATTTAAATATTGTTGCCCAATTGAGAGAGCATATGTTTGGCTCAATTCTCTTAAACTAGTTTTCTAGTATTGGATGATGGAAAACAATTTGACAAACCATCTGCTGAATAGAGAAATTGAATTAAGTAAATGCTTTTTTCTGTTATAAAATACAGTAGTAGTTCTTTAAAATTGTTTTCAAATGTTTTATTTCCACATAACATCCTTGTCTTTTGTTGCATATTCAGCTTTGCTTCTTTGGTGTTGCCGGGGCACCTTTTTTTCTTTTCTTTTCTTCCTTTTCTTTTTCTGCATTTTGTTATTGTACATGGAGGGAAACACCATTCTTGATACCTTTTACATTTTTTACTTTTTAATCCAATCTTCTCTTGTTTAATTGAGTGTTGCTTTTGGGACTTTTTTTTAATTTTTACTTTGGCTAAAAAGTCACTTATCTATTTTGCCTCTAACTAGACTTGAACTTTGCCCTCGCCCTCATACTTTAATACCACTTTGCTCTTAAGAATCAACAATGTATTCACACAGATAATAGCCTTTCCAATCTTCTCTTACTTGCTAGAATGAATAAAGAAAATTGTTTTCAAATAAATGAAACAAACAAGGCCCATAATTATTGAATCATTTCGGTTTTTTTTTTTTTTATTTTTTTTTATTTTAATATAAGTAGAAAAGCAGGGATGTCCATATGAGAAAAAAGGGGTAATAACAACAAAGTCAGATACATAGGCAGAAGCCGGCGCAGAATACTTTAGGAGAAAAGTTGATGAAAAGAATAATAAAGAAAAAAGCTATGAACCCAAAGTCATCTTTCTTCTTATTTTTCAAAATCAAAGATGTGAATGCTGTATACTAAAATTCAATCAAGTTTTCCATAAACTTCAAATTTCACGATCTACAAAAAAAACTTTATGTATTACCATTTTGCAAACATTCCTCTCCCATGGTAGTATCAGCAACGGAGGCCCATATGCGCTCTAAATCCCGAGTAAACTCCTCCTCTCTACCTAGGACTACAGAACTGTGGTCAGCATTTGGTATGATGTTAATGTCAGCATGTGGAACCTTCAACTTAATGTTGTTGCTGCACTCCAATGGGACTACCTGGTCTCTGCTGCCTTGAATTACATTCACGTTCAAACTCGAATTTTTCAAAGCTTCTAAGTATCCATCCATCAATTTTGCTCCCCCACATATCACATTATGCATGGTGTGCCAAGCTGAATGATGAGTGTGCCTTGTTAAGTCGACGATCATAAAGTTGAGACACCTTCTTCTTGTGAGTAGCCTCAAAATCCATTCCCATACCCTATGGTTCCGGCAAATAAGAAAGCACACACATCGGCCCAAGTGCTCATACCATGACATAAATGATGAACCGAACAATATCAATGGCCATAATTTCCTATCCGCAAGTCTATTGAGCGCGGTTAAGCTTGCACTGCCTTGAGAAGGAGGTAAGTATGGCTGCAAGTAATTAAAGAAGGAAAAAGATTAACAGATAAGCAATAAAAAGAAAAAGATATACCAACTATAAATATGAATTCGAAACTACAGGCAGAGGAATACTTTCCAACCCCCAGTGTCAAGCAAGTCAATGATTGAACGAAAAAAATAATTAGTTCAGAAATTAGCTCTAAAGAAACGGCATTGTAATGTTTATAGTATACATTAGTGATATTTATTGTCAACTTGATCATGAGCTCACCGGTGCAATCAGGGTGATTGATTTTACAGACTTTGAGTACTTGGCAGCCAATGCCAATGCAAGTATGCAACCCATGGAGTGTGCAACCAAATGGAAAGAATTCGACCGAAAAGGATCATGAACTGATTTCTCAATCGCGTCCAAGTGATCTTTCAACGTGTAGAAACAATCTCTTGGCTTTGGGCTTCCTCCAAATCCCAAGAGGTCTACTGCAAACAATCTGTAATTGCACTTTGCAAATTCAGACAAATTAGGGAACACTGTCTCTGTCCAAAATAAGGAAGATGAGAGGAAACCATGTATGAATATCACATTTTCAGTTGCCTTTTCCTTGCAATCCTCAAAGGGGGCTGTCAAACAAGAAATGCTAAAGACATTAGTAAATCCCTAAAATTACATCCATAGGCAACAACATTTTTTGTTATCAGGTATCAAAATTATGTGACGGACCAAAGGTCTAATCATTGTCAACCGAATTATTAATTTGAACAAGTAAAACACAAGTCCCCACCACCTCCACGGACCACAGTGAGAAGATATTGAAATGACAAGGTACACACAGGAGTTGCTAATAAATAGAGTCAACAATAGTTGGTTTGCAAAACCTAGGTTTGTAGTAAATGGACATGATAAGATTCAAATAAATTGAAAGTCTTAATTAGTACTGTCCCCACAGCGGACATAAATATTAAATGATGGCATTCCTCAAACTTGTGACATGTCACATTCCTAGTAAAGAGGTTGTTGATACTTATACCTATGGATTTTGAAAAACGTGAGTAAAACAAATAATATAAACCGGTGAATGTGTGCAAAACAAACCATATTTATGGTGCCAGCAATAGTTTATTCCGATTAAACAATGTGAATTCAAACTGAAAGCAGGAATCATAGAAAAAATAAAAATAAAAATTCTATAAAATTATAGATTAAAGTCAAGAATTCATAAATGGGTTGCTCGTGAAATACCATTTGATGGTTCTCTAAGAACAACATGGAGCTTCTGATCGCCATTGCTGACCCATGAAAGACAAGACATGCAACCACAGTCGGACCACCTATTCGTCTTCACCGTCCAACCTTGTATTTTCTTCGAACCTTGGCATTTTCTAGAGAATCCAAAGAAACCCATATCCCGGAAAAAGTTTTTCCTCTCATAAAGTGTTTCCGACAGTTCACTTTCTCTATCATCGTCATCACTCGCAGCTGTTCCGATTCCTCCCCTGTTTTGGCAGTAACATGGAGAGGCGGTTTCTTCAAAGAATTCATCCACGAATTTGAAGAATGCGCAGAAAATAACATCAAGAAGGTCGAGAAATAAGAAGACAATTGAACTGGCAGCCGAGATGAGGATTTCAATCACTCTTCTCGGCCATTTTCCGGAGAAAATTGCCGAAAGGACGTACATTTCCGGCAAGGGAAATGTGTGTGTGTGTGTGTGTGAGAGAGAGAGAGAGAGTGGATATGCTGATGCAAAATGCGAAGGTGATTGTGCCATGTGCGAAATGAGAGATGTTATAGACATGGGGATAGGGCCATTTTGAACGACGAATAAGTGTCTTACGTGCACCAAATGTGGACTAGTATTAGGTTTATTATTATTATTTTTGAAAAAATAATCTGCCCTAACAAAAATGATATGAGTGGACCACCCTCTTTGTGGGTCGGCAGATGTTGGTTCGGGAAATGATCATCAAAGTGATGACCGCTGCAAAGATGCTCGGTTGCAATGTCGCTCTTTGGATCGGTTAGAAGGTCACATAATATATGTACATTCAAATAGATTATTTAGAATAAACTCATAACTTTTCTTTACATTTTCATTGACTAGTCATAAAAATATTGAGAGATAGTGTGGACGTTTTAATTCATTCTTAAAATATGTATATATATGAAATTAGAGTTTTTTTTTCATTCTTTAATTAGACCAAATCTCGAGTTAAAAAGAATTTAACTATTTCGAACTTTATGCTTTGTTTAGTGTGAAGGAGAAAAGAAAAGTGTAGAAAAAGAAGTAAGAATTGAAAGAAACGGACCTCTTCTATTTGGTAGATAAAGAGGAAAAAAAAAAAAGACAACCCTATTATAAAAGTTTTCCTAACACATAAAATAAGATATTAACTCATTCTCTCTCTTTTTTTCATCCAACAAAGACAAAAAGATAAAAATGTACACAATTATGTCTCATTCATCTCTTCTTTTTGTCTTCTCATTTAAATTTCTCTCACCAAATAAATAATAATGATATTAACAATAACAATAACCACGTATTAGTTTAGCATTTTCAGCCACAAGATAATAAAAAATTCAAATAAAAAACGCTTTGAGCCCTTTCAACAATAAGTAAAGACGTATAACTACTACAGCCACAAGCTTCACTAAATTTGGCAAGCACACAGCCGCGAGGCCGAGATCATGTACAGACAAAGCCAGGTCCAAACACTTCTATACCGACCTGGATTCAAATCATTCACAACCCTAATTTTTATAAAATTAATGTTAACAATTAAAAGGAACACTCCCAATACTTGGTTGGTTTAAAAAACATTTGCAGCCACACACATGAAGGGGGAAGTAGGAAAAGTATATGGTATCTGGCAACCTTGTCTTCAACTTATTTGAAATGTGGACTCTTCTCAAAACTATTAATCATCCATGTACGACATTTAGACAATACGGTACGTGTCCAACACATTTATTTAATTAGACATGTACCTGAAAAATGTATACCTAGTACAATAATTTTAATTTTGTTTTATTAGAGTCTCAAAACGAGTTAAATGCCTGTTTAGGACGCAATGCTACACCAAAATGCTATTTTATTCTAGAAAGTAAAAGAAATTTATATATATATATATATATATATATATATCAATATTAGACCGTGTCCTTGTACCCTTCTGTTTTGAGAATTGACGCATCTTACTCTCCAATACATACCCCACCCGACCTGCGTACCCAATTCCAACTTGTGTTCCTGCATGCTGGAAAAATGGACCATTCCGGACCAAAACAAACGATCATTGCCGGAACAACCAAAAAGCACAAAATATTTATTCTATAATCCTGTTTGTGCATCAAAATGAAACAATTCTTAGCACCAAAGTGAAACAAAATTTGTAACTATCATAAAACCTCAACAAAAATGATCACATAAATGTTCCCAACACCCCAAAATGTGATAATTATAATACACATTCAAAATAATGTCTTATTCTTAAATACAGTGATCAAAATTTGCCAAGAGAATAATTACCTAAGTGAGAGTCTCACAAGAAATCGCTCCCATGTTTTTCAGTTTTTGTCATTTTCTTTCTCCGGAGAATTGGAGCTTATAATTGGAAGATTCCTTTTATACTGAGGAGATGTCAACCTCCTCTCCAATGGTGTTTTCCTCTTGCTTACTACAAACCTGTTCACCCCTTTACGCATGGGCATTATTGATGGGAAATCTTCATCAGGGATCTGGCTCAGCTCAGAGATATCCTTGATCTGGGCAACACGACGGAACCACCTCTGTGCCTTAGCCTCTTCTGACATGTCTAAAGGATCGGGTTCCTTTACTGCTGATCCCTCCAAGCTTTTCCCCGTCCAGCTACTCCTAACATTCTGATTTTCAGTTGGTCGGGGTAAACTTCCAGCCATATTTGTACCTTCGGTTCTATTATCTTTCCCACTATATCCAGTACTCCAACTATCCTTGCTATTAGTCTGAAAATTAGAGGAGGAGTTTTGAATTGGATTTTCACTGATTTGTGTCCTGTAAGCAGCACCAGTTTCTCTCTCATTTGAACTACCTACATAAGACTCTGAAGTCCACCTCCCAAGACTGGTCTGTTTATTTTCCACTTGTTTTGTATCAGACACCCCTATTTTGACATTATCGAGATTCTCAGGAAGTTTTTCTGGTTTCGTAGAAATGGAAGAACTTTCACCTGTAGCTTTAAATACAGTTTCATCTGCCTCAGTTCGCTGCTCTTTGTCCTTTTTAGCGAAGTAATCGGGCGGGAATGGGACAAAGGGAACAAAATTGGTATTGCCTGCTTGCTCCATGGCCATTCGTCTTTTGTACATTGGTGAAGTTAAAGAACGATCTTTCTTCTTGCTGACCACAAATCGATTTTCTCCTTTACGCATTGGCATAATCTCTGGGAAGTCCTCATCTGAAATCTCACTTGCCAGATCTGTAACATCATGCAGCTCTGCTACCCTCTTAAACCATCTCTCTGACTTTCCAGCTTGGTCCTTCTCCTTATCCTGGTTCTCAGCCTGACTAGCTGGCATTTCAGAAGAGTGCAACCCATCTCCTGATCCTGCAGACTCACTGTTCCCTGAAACATGACCTGTCTGCTCACGAGTGGCTTTCAAAGAGAGAGATTCAGGGTTTTCTGTGTCCCCCTTCTCATTGTCCGTCCTTGAATTTTGAGATTTTTCAGCAAACGTGTCAGCAGGTAATGGCACAAATGGAACATAACTGGAACTGCTCTCTTTGGAATGTCCGTTCCGTAAAGAAGCTGAACTCAATCGTGGAAAGGAGCTGTTCTCTGTCTCAGCATTTTGTCTAACAGTTTGAATTTCATCCAAACTTCTGTTGAAGGTCTTATTTGCATCCCGAGTTTGAATATGATTACCCGTAGAAGAACCACCATCTCCTAAGTTTCTTTTATATTGGGAATCGGCCAGTCTCCTTTCCAGGGATGTCTTCCTCGTGCTTACAACAAACCTGTTTACCCCTTTCCTCAACGGCATGATTTCAGGAAAATCTTCATCAGCTGCAACTTTGCTCAAATCAGATGCATTGTCCGGTTGAGAAACCTTACTAAACCACCGCTGTGCCTTCTCTTCATTGTCAGCCAACCGGCTATCGACATCACCCTTATTTGCATAGTCCCCATTACTATATCCCAAACCTGGTCTGGAGTTTCTAGTGCCGAATGAAGCCTCTCCAGGTCGTTTGCAGTCACACCTTAAGCATACCAAGTTCCTCCCATAATTAAAGAAATCACATCTGGAGTGACCAAAAAAAAGAGTTAATGTCACCATTTGACATTCTAAACAGATATGGGATTATTAGTTAGGCAGAGAAAGTAGGCAATTCTCACTGAGGACACTCCCACTCCCCACCAGTCAGCTGCCTTTTTGGTCTTGCCTCCTCACATTCAAGGCATTTAATGTTCCTTGCAAAATTCATGAAACTGCACCTGCTCAAAACAGATTATAGTAAAAAAAGTTGACCAACAGAAAGCATGCCACAAACAGCCATGCAAGAATCCAGCATTTCAAACAAGATCCGGTTAATATAGTGTTAAATCAAAGAGTAAAAAAGGCATGTGCATGAAGGTGCTACTTGCACAAAGAAAGTAAAATATCCATATACAAGCACTGAAAATGCCAAAATGCTATAATCATAGAAACTGAAAAATAAAAACTTCATATGGATTAAGTTTGGGGCAAGTAGGATACTGCCATACCGTTACTATTTTGTGGAGAAAGGTAAAACAAAGGAAAGGATATTTGGGCAATATCCAACACCTCTTTTCATTTCAATTTTTTGTCCAAGAGGTCCTGGTGTTTGTCCTTTTCTATCCAGTAGCAGATATTGCATAGAAGCAAAAAGGTATCTGAAGAACACCATACCTTGGGCATATCCAATCACCTCTTTTCATTTCAATTTTTTGTCCAAGTGGTCTGGGTGTCTGTCCATATCTATCTGGTAACTGATACTCCATAGAAAAAGAGGTCTTCAATTCCGGAATGTTGCTGCTCACCTCAGCCAATTGTATCAACAGATTACGAACAGATGACTCAACAAGCTTTCCATTGTATAGATTGTTGTTCTCTGAAGAAACACTAGGATTGCTTGCATAACTCAATAAATACTTCATCAGATCAACCATGTGTATTTCTTCAAATTCCAACACCTAAATTTCAAGAAAGAATTAGTCGTGTGGGAGGGGAAATAGATGAGTACTTGTTACTTCAATACCTAAATCAAGAATGGAGTACACGAATGTCCTGAGATCAGCAATAAATCAAAATCACCAAAATCGCACTTTACCAAAGAAATTGTTATCCAGCAAAAGAATTGCTACAAATTGTTATCCACCAAAATAATCAACAGATATTTTTCACAAGTTGTCCAATGATCGATCCAGAAGTTTTAAATTGAACAAACAAATCCTACATCTTTGCCCGGAAAAAATTATCCAAAGTAGTAGTTTCAAATTATAAACAATACACATAGTCCCCACATTTCCCTCGTACAAACTATTTAATAGAATACTCTTCTACAAAGAAACCATATTTGTGGCTGAAAACAAGATCTCTACAGTTTTAGACACTCATGAGTATAATTCATGCCCAACACATGTTAATTTGTCTATAATATGAGATAAATTTCTTGAGTTGTAACAAGTCTCAATGTTGAGACAAGAAATCTTTTTTGTTAGTGTTGATATGTTGATTGACTAAAGAAATGAGTTTTCAATCCGCATGATATATGACAGCGGGGGGAAGAAAAAAAAAAAGTGCTGGATCTTAAACAGGTGGTTCTTGAATTTTAGCAGTTTCCTTAAATGATTCATGACAGGTTTAATAGGAAAACATAAAGGATACTTGCCACAAGAAGTTAAGAGAACTGCGAGGAGCTACTTTTTGCACTTGCAAAAGTGGACGAAGCAAATAATTGAATGATCTGGCCATATGATATTACGTTATAAAGAGTAGTACCTCTATTTTCCAGCACCTGGATTGTAGTTCTTGCATTTTCTTGCACCTTTCTTATCTTGTTCCTCAATTTCCATGTACTTCTCCTTTTCCTCTACATGCCAACTGGTGACCATTATTTTCCTCTTCATTTTAACGGACTGTGAGTTGTATTTGTTTATCTGAATTCTCTAAGAAGTAATACACATCTTTATTCATTTCATGCAATTTATGCTTTGATCATTTAATGTATGCAACTAAATTTCATTAAGTATCGCGCAGTTAAATTTGAAGCCCTTTTAACAATGAATGAATAACTTAGCTAAAGGAACCTCCTATTCCTTCTCATATTCACCTAAAGAATATCGCATGGCCAAAATCAACCAATCCAAAGGAGTAGTTGATCACACATCAAAGCCCTCCTAAGCTTTTCGCGCCTGATTAAATTATTCATAACAGAAATGGGAAATGTTGAGTAAGAGTTGCATCAATATTTCAGAATGCTTAAAATACAGTCATGGAACAATAATGGTGACCCAGTAATAGAAAATCATCAACACGCTAGATATAAAAAACCAATTTTCCCTCTATTTCATTTTTTTTTTCTTTCTTCAAGCCAACATGCCAAAATTTACTCAGTTTACTTTATAAAATGCTATATTTACCTTCCAACAGTAGAGTTAAAACAGGACCTGATCATCTATTCTGACAGAAAAATGGTTATGTTTCCATGACCATGCAGTTGGACTTCAAAATTTTATAAAAACAATTAATTTGAACTTCAATGTTCATGTAAATTAAATTACTAATTATCTCTGTTCTTAGTTTTAAGAAATATAATTTTTTATAGATGAACTGCGGAAACTTCTCTTGGGCAGTTTGATTATAAAAAAAGTAGACCCCCTCCTCCTCTCTAATATGTCATTTGAGAGAGAGAAATTTATTCCATTGGTGCGGATGACAAATCTCATGCTGTGTGTATTCCATACCCAGCTCAAGGAGACACAAAACCCAATGATCAAGCTAGCAAAACTTTTTTTTTTGATAAGTTATCAAGCTAGCAAAACTTCTTCACTACAAAGGCTTCCACATAACTTTTGTCAAAACTGAGTACAACCATAAGCCCAGACCATCCTTGACTACCTCCCTCATTCTGATGTGGACACCACCCAAGACATCCCCTCTGTCTTTGAGTCAACATCAAAGAACTTATTACTACCTTTCTGCAACCTCCCGTCCAATCAAACCTCAACAACTCCTCGTCTTCCAACATCATGCATAGTATAATATCCAATGGTATCATGAACTTCACTCTCAGAGCTACAAAGAGCTCAGATCCATCATCCATGATTATTGTTCTGGATGACAAGTACTTGTGGATTCTTGGGTTATACACAGTACATCCATCTGGAGGCTCCACCAGATGGTAACTCACCATAAAGCTCTGTTGAATTTTATAAAATGTGTTGAAGAACAGTTATCCTAATTCTTCGGGGTCACAAAGATATCATCAAATTTAAAGTGGTTCAACCAATTTTTTTGATAAGTCATCATAAAGCTATGCCAATCCTTTGAGTGTGTCGAAAAATTAATTTCCTTCGTCAAATCAGATTTATTGGCACAAGTGCATTCTATCACATCATTTATCTTCCCACATTTGTGTGTTCTTATAATGGTCAAACTAAGAGCTTGGCTGTCATATTGCACCTATGAGCCCATGACACCAGCATAATTATGCACCCAAATTAAGTTATGGAGATTTTCTAAATTTATTTTCATTTTCAAGTTATTCTCTCCTTCATAAGTTTTTCAAGTAAATAAAAGAAAGAAAGAAAAAAGCAAAAAATAAAAAATAAAAAAATGGAAAGCAAAAAGAAAAGAGATCCCAACATGCATTCCAAACTTATATTGTGTTTCAAGCTCTAACTAAGCATTCAAAATGGACCCATTGGGCCATCTTACAATGAAAATGATATTATCCTGTTCTGTCCTAGTAGAATCATGAACTATTCCAATTGTGTCTCAAATACTAGCCATATCTGAACTAAAATTCAACAAACATACCACTTGCAGATGCTGCACTAATAGCACCACATGCCAAACACAACTACCAACAATAATCCATCACCCCTCGCACAAACATCTCCTTCCAACCTCTACTGCTACTAGCAATGCTCCCCAAATTTCATATCACCACCATCACATAATCATCAACACCACTTATTCCAGCTCTCTTCTTTTTGCTAAACACCTATATGCATAATTTTATCCATTCTTTCAGCAAATAAGGCAGGTTCAAATTTCTATTACAGCGCCAAAAGAAATATTCCACCCATCCCATAATAAGTGTCAAGCTTTCCATTTTGTGATGTCCCAAAACAAGTGTCTACTTTTCTTTTTGAAATGCTTCAAATTTAAGCTTTCTTAGATTGTCCTTAGGCTTCGAAAATGTTATCAAATCAATAAAGTAAAAGTTTAAATTTGTTAGGTTAGTTTTGTAAGTTGGATTCACATAGATCAACACTGATTATAGGACAAAGGAAGTAAATACTAAATAAACAGAAAGCTATCCCAACACCATGAACTTAAACCATTTCTATACAAATGAAACAATTAAAAAGCCTACATTTCAAGCAGAACTTCATGAGCATAGAAATACTATTTGGCTTACATTGCTTCTGCTTCTGTCCATAAAAGGCCTCATCCTTCTTGCAGTGTCAAGAGCATTTTTGAACAGAAATGGCGTTCCTTTTTCTACAACCACCTCGATGTCTCTCCTAGAAAGTGACCTGTACCCAAGAGAGAGAGTTAAGTGCTTCAATAGAAACATAAATAAAATTATATATAGTTAAGGAGACAAGAAAAGAGGAAGCAACAAACCTCACAAGATCGGAACGATGACGAGCAAATGCCAAACACGCGCTTGCAGCATGAACAAAATGGTTTGACAAATTCTCATACGCCACAAATGCGTCTTCCTCAGCCCCTATTCCGTGCCCCTGATACCTACAAGCATAGAGGTTGTCTACGAGTTTAGACCATTCAGGCCATGGGTGCGAAGCCGGAGAGTTGGGGGATGAGAAGTCGAGGGAGTCTCCAAAATGGCTGGTCTGGGTATGAATTTCTTTTTGAGAGGCTCTGAGTAGGAAAACTGAATTGGTGCGACAAGTGGTAGTAGGAGAGTGAGGCAGGTGGTGAGGAGTGACAGAGAGGGACGATAACCGGAAATGGCGAGAATGGCGAGCGATTCGGAGGAGTGAGGGACGCAAGTGGAGAGGGAATGGGGTGGTGAGCAGCATGACGAACCTGGAGGCACCGGCCATAGCGGCCGGAACTGTATTTAGAGATGGCGGGAAAGAGCGCAGTGTACGGTGGAAGAAGGTGGATGAAAAAAAACCTAGGGCTAGGGAAGGAAAGGAGTCAGCTCATCACGCTGTGGCTAAACTCCCAATCCCTTTCTTTCAGATTTAATTTGAGTACCGTATAGTTACAATGATTAAAATGACAGTATTAACTTAAAAAATATACGGAATATTGTTATAATTAAATATTAAAACTATAAAATTTTCACTATATTTAAATTTTGATCATAAAATTAAAAATATGTTTAAATTTTGATAATAAAATTAAAAATATGTGTCAGAAAATCTTTACGTTTTTTAAGAGTGCTTTACATTTTTTAAAGGGATTATTACATATAAATGGGGTTAGAGTTTCATATTTACCAAGAGGCTGAGTCAAAGTCTCATATTTCTTAAAAATGAGGTTGACTAAATTGATGACATGGCACATGAATTATTACTGTTTAAAACTTGTGGTGCCTAAAATGCCCTTCTCACTATTCCAGCACATTTACCTTATTGCCCCCGTTTAATTTAGTCACTCAACTCTAAAGCATTGTTGCCCTAAAATACACAGTCACAAATCCAGCGAAGCAAGCCCAGGCAAACACAGCATCACCGAACATGGAACCCTAACCCTCCCTCATCTCATTCGTGAAGAGCCCTTAAGAGCCCTCTCTCTCTCTCCCCCCATCTCTGTAACAGGATTGAAGCGTAGCCGTTGAGCCCTAACCCTCATTCAAGCCCTCTCTCTTTCCCCCTCTGTAACAGCAAAGCACTTCTCCACGTCTAACCGTCGTTGGTGCGCCCTCTCTGTAACCCAGCGAAGCACTTCTGCCATTCATTTATTGTTGTTCTAGTAATATGGTAAGTACTCTCTCCCTCTTAACACACACACGTTTATATTTTAGATGATTATGGTCCTGATTTAGTGTTATAATTTTTTTTTTTTTTTTTTTTTTCCAATTGGATGTCTGATTTTCATGTAGGTTATGTTTATATATATTCTCCTCTTATAATTTCTATTATGCAATCATATATATATAATTTCTATTCTGCAATCAAGATTGTTGTTGCTCTGTTTGTTGTATATGTTTGAAATGTGCGTAACAAAATGTTGCTCTCTTGTGCGTGACAAAATTAATTTTTAAAACTCAGTTTTATCCCACCAACAAAGGCAAAATTTTCATAAAGTAGATACTTAATTAATCAAATGTTTTTTTTTTTATTTTTTATTTTTCTTCTTCTTCTTTTGTAATTAGGTTTGCTTGTTTTTGAAGAGTTCATGCTTTCTTTATACGTTGACTGAACTGAAATCCCAAATGTTATCCTACAATCTTTCCACTAGCATGGGTTTTCATACTTAAAATACTCGGAATTTGCTGAAGAAAACATAATTAAACAGGATAAAAAACAAATTTCCATGCATGTCCTTTGTTACCTGCTGAATTTTTTTTTATAGAACATTAATCTGATCTTAAAACTTAAACATTGTACTGTTAATGCCTACCTGTGTATAGTAGAGATTCAATGTCCCTAAATCCAAATAATTCATGTTCTTTAAATTTACTAGGACCATGTGGAAGCAAGTGGCAGTACGTGTGGTGCCTACAGGCTTTTTGTTGGATTTCACTAGTTAGCTAACTAGCTTGTGCCAAGGTAACAAGCTTAAATCCTATCTTCATAAGTCATTTGCTCTGGAGACCTTATGATACAATCAATGAATGTAAACTGTAAAGAGGCATGCATGTGATAGTCTTTGGGTAGGGACACTTGTTATCAAATGTTTGTGAAATCTACATTCCCATTTGCATTTGCTTAGTAAAAGAATTGTTTAAGATTACTAGTATTGGTTCTACAATATTAAATTAAAAACAAGTTTTTCATACATACTATATTTGTTGTGGTTTAGTGGTTGAAATGTAATTAAATATAAAATTTGAGTTTGGTTCAATTAAATGAAAATGCTTTATAATAATTTCATGATTAATATCTTGGGTGTTAAGAATCACTAATAAAGATTTTAGTTCTCAATATAAAACAAAAGGGAAGAAGCTACTCTGTTTGTGCCTTATAGATGAAGTAACAAATCTTCATGGTTATGCTATGATTTGTGCCTTAGCTTACAAGGTTGGAAGTCTTTGGTAAATGTTTTCACTAGGGAAACATAGCATTTTAGAGCATGTCAGTGATGGCCTTGGTGTCTGATAATTACCAACATTTAAATAAATTAGATAAATAATTCTTTTTAGTAGACTGATTGAATATGTTAACATTTTTAAACGATTAAAAAATTTAGTCTAAGATATTGCCATGCAATGACCAGAAATGGAAAAGATTTCTTCACCATCTGTTCATGAAATTTGAATGGTTTTAAACAACAAATTTCTAGATATGCTTACAAGTTCCCCCCGCCCCCCCCCCCCCCCCCCCCCCCCCCAACCGGTGAAGAGTGCAAGCTGCTTTATACCTAAGCCCAAATTCAGTTGAAAATACAAGACACGAACAATAATGGGAAAACTGTTATATGACCTTTACGTCTAAATTGTATTTACGGGAAAAGAAAGAGAGAATGAAAGAAAGAAGTAAATTTCGATCAAAATTCTGTCCAAGACTGATGCTTTGGAAGTTATTTAGTTTCTAACGAGATGAAAAAGAGAAAATATAAAGCAGTAGGTAGTTATCTAAACACCAGTTATATAAATAATAATAAATAAATAAATTAAGTACTTATTCAGTTTTATCAAAAGGGATGCAGAAAAACTCCTCCGAAGATAAACATATTGTCATAAAACAAGACATAGCATTGGTAATACTAATACCTCTTCGGGCGTTGATTCTTCTTGAATAGCCGAATTGGGTCATAACCCTCCAAACACGCCGCATAAATAATTATCCTGACATTGAAATTCAAGCAATTTTCAACCCATCAAAGAACCAAAACAAATAGCCCGAACTTTCTATATATATACACACACAGAAAAACAAAAATTGGTAAGAGGGGGACATAGAAGGTGATCTCTCTGGCGGCTCTGGGGCTGCAAAACCTGCCACTCTCGTCAATTCTGGGCAGCATTTCTCTGGGAGATGAGAGAGAGTTTGCCGATTTTTTAAGAACTTCCCCAACAGCCGTGAGAGCTGAAGAAGTGCGAAGAGGAGAGCTTAATAGAGAAATTAAGCTTTCTGAGAATTAGGTTTTGAGTAGCATTCTCTATACCAGATCAGAATATGACACCTCTTTGCATTATTTGGAATCAAAGTAGAAATAGAAGTTAGAACTAAATTGAAGAGTAACATTACTTTTTGTATAAATTGAAGAGTAACACTACTTTTTTATCTAATATATTCTACACCCGTGCATATATATAAATATATTGTGGAACATACATATTAAATTGATGACTTAATATGAATGCCACAATTAAACACACTACCTTAGGGGGGGTATTCCCAAAGTTTCTCATTTTATCTGTTCGATTTTCTAATAATAGATAATAAATAATCTCCTATTGTGTACAGAATCACAACACTTACTCCAAAAACATATTATATATATATATATATATATATATATATATATATATATATATATATATATAATATTGTGAGTTGAGTTGAGAATTTCACTTGATAGAGCTTTGATGTCAAATAAATAAAGAAAGACAGGTTTCATAAATGAGGAGTGAAGAGGTTGAGGGAACACTGACAATATTTCTTTGTATTTTGCTCTGTTTTGAAAAGGCTACATGAGAGAGCTCTCTCTCTCTCTTTGAGGTGGATCTGATTTTTTTGGTCCAAAACTCTGGCACTACAATCAAACCAAAGACACCACCTTTATGTGAAGGTGAATACGGATACTACATGTCTTTGCACTAGGAAAGGAATCAAAATCAAAATCAAAATCAAAATCAAAACAGCTAATGGGTGATTTAAAGTTTTCAATGGGAAACAGATAAGTGTAGTACTACTAAAGTCTGTTTTAAGAGAAAAGCCTTCAAACATGGTAGAGTTTATAGATTTTTGTGGGGATTGCCTTATTAAATCTGCCTATGCTCTTTTAGCTGCATTATATATATTTCTCGCAATCGAGATATACATGGTTTTACCCCACTAATTCTCGGAGCTCCCAAAGAATTATTTGTACTCATGAAAGCGTAGTCTCAAAGAATTATTTGTACTTATGAGGAATCTAATTTTAAATCTGGTGCTTCATGTACTTTTATTTTTTGATTTTCAATTGTATCCAAACATCTTATTTTTTTATATTTCCATTAAAATGGTATCTCTCTTTGATTTTGGATCATGTGTGTGATTATGAAATTATGTGTTGATTTGTAAGGTTGCTTTCAGCTTTGGACAAAAATAAAATGAAATGCTCTTTGAATTATCGACTCTCAATTAACTATGTTGGCAGCCTATTGCAATCGATTAGAGTGATTAATAAATTCTTAAAATTTTGTTTCTTGTGAGGGAGGGTCTAATTTTGTAATTTTGCTTTAATGGTATTTGATAGTAACAGAAAAATTCAGTAAGTTAATATTTATATTTGGTTTTATACTAAGTCGCATAAAGTGGTAGATAGAGCGCAAAAGCAACAAAATTAAATTACAAACAAATCGTGAGAATGGGAGCTAGATTTACACCTGTTAAAAAGAATTGTATGACCTAGATTTTAACACAAACACACTTGTCATAGGCTAGCTACACCTATTGTAACTTCTGCGGCTAGCTATTGGTCACTGTTCTTGTTTGTTTGAGTGTGTTTGGATCATAAAAAAACAAACATATTTCAGCCACTACATGAATAGCTTCCCAATGAGATTGAGGAAAAACTTCAAGACAAAATGGCTGAGCTAAATCTAGTTTATGATTATGTTAAGTGCTGTTAGGAGGAGATTGAAACAGCACTGGACCGTCAATAAGCACATCAATCTTAAGAATCATAGTGTGAACTATACTCTAATACAGGTCCATAGAACACGTGTGCCATTAGGGGAGAGAAAACCCTAACGTACCTCGATTTGGAAGGAGAAAGAGAAGGAATGAGAGAAATGGTATAATAATACTTGTTTAACCTTCCAAACAAAAAACCTTTAGGAGTCATCCAAACCAACATGAATTTGTTCTAATTTTTACAAGAGTTAGGCTGATATATTTAAACATAACACGACTTTGTCATATATATGTATGTTTATACATGATTTTAACACACACACACTGGCCATAAGCCTAAATACCACACATTAACTAGTACATAATGGAACACATACACAAAACTAGTAGTAATCATGATGCAACTAATAAGCTCCATATGATCAAAGTAGTTTCACGGCTTATTTATCATTAAGCAGTAGTTGCCATGGACTGATATAGATATATATTCAAAGCATATAATTTTAAATTTTTAAGCTCATTACATCAACAAACTATCAAGACTTTCATTTTATTTTTGTCCAAATCTGAAAGCAACCTTACAAATCAACACATAATTTAATAACCACACACATGATCCAAAATCAAAGAGAGATACCATTTTAATGGAAATATCAAAATTTAGTTAAAACCATTAATACTGACCATGGTTATATCCATTTGAAATTTTAAATTGACATTGTCAGTTATAACCAATACACACCACAATATTGGTCGATAGCTATGAGTAGTATCAATTCACTCCGTTAGAAAATAATATCTATGTAAAATCAGCTATATCTGTATCTTCCTACAAAAAGAGTCAGACTAAATCAGCTATATCTGTATTCAAGCTATATATTCAAGGCTCTTTGATGACTGCAGACTAAATCCTCAGCAGAACGTAGGAATTTAGGAGTTAAAATTCAAAGCCACCAACACATAGGTAGTCCAATTAGTTTTTATGTATAATTAATTATTATAACTCAATTTAGATCAAGAATTATTCAAGATTGTTGCCTCTTTCTCAAATGGCATGTAGAGTATACCTCTGTGTAATATGTCTTTAGGCATCTACGCACATGATAGAATTGATGCAAAAGCTAGCAAACTCTATGAATGAGGCTTTTTTAATATATGTATTTAGCATTAATTTATAAAAAAAATGTATTTAGTATTAATTTATTATTCCAACATTCCCTTGTACTTGTCTCCCCCATTTTCAAGACTTACACATATAATATTTGTGTGTGAAAAATATTCAACACTCTGCTCTCTCTCTATTTAACTCTCAATTTTTTTATTTTCAATCTATATTGTCCCATTTAACTCTCTATTCATCTCATAATCTCCCTCATCTTGTATATATGTTTGTTGTACACATAGTGATACAATTATCTAGTAATCAATGGCATTGATTTTGTGGTTGTATTTTGATTTGAAAAAGGTCTGTAGTGTGTGTTTAGGAAAAGTTTAATCTTGACACCGCCTATCCCTATTGAGGGAATTAGTAGTGTTTCGGTGTAAATAGATCTCTAAATTACATTATATAATTATGATATTTAATTGTTTTATATTTCATTTTTTTTTGAACTTCATATTTAGTTTTTTTTTTTAAACTAATGAGTCAATTTTCGAAGCAGTTGGACAAATGGATGAGAGACAAATTATATGCTATTGTCGATTTGATGGGAAAATTGACAAAAATGAGAATGGGGAAATTATATACATCGGCGGTGTCACAGACCCTTTTATGATAACAACAACAACAACATACGAATCATTTATAAATGAGTTACAACAACGTTCATCTTCAAACATGAGTGGTAAAGTCATATATTATACCACCGAATCTAACAAGAATGAACTTTTGAGGATGACGGGAGAATCTGGATTTAGAGTGATGCTTCTAGTGAGTGGTCCCATGCTAAATGTGTATATGGAAGATGCAGAGCCTGTAATTGCATCATGCACAATTCCTACTGATCATAGTGAGAGGTAAGACACATATATTTAAAGTAATACATTGATGTATGCGCTGCATAGGTTATGTGATTTTTAATATACCTTTTTATCCACTTGTAGACAATTTGTTGAAGCCACATCGCCAATTGGTCTTCTACAAAGTGTTGCGTCAACGTCTTCATTTCCTCCGATAAATGCGCATCGGGATTCTTTCCGACACATTGATGACATTCTTTGCGTGGATCAGCTTTTTGACAGCCTAAATGATTTCAAAGATGCACTCGTTTTGTTTGGTCTTCGTAATCATTTTCGGTTCAAGTACTTGGACAATAGCAGAAAATATTATAGAGTTGTGTGCGAGGTTAATAATTGTCCATGGAAATTATCAGCTGGTTGTGAAGGAAGTGGTGATATAGTGAGAATCAAGCGGTTTAATAATGTTCACACTCACACTGCTCAAGACATTTCAGATTATAAAGCCATTTTTTGGTCGAAGGAAATGGGTCGAGCTATTGTGAACAAGGTTAGGGACAATCCTAAATGCACCCCCAAGACTATTTCCACAGACATAAACGGTGAATTTTCTGCTAAAATGACTTACATGCAATCGTGGAGAGCTAAGGAGTGTGCACGTCATATCATTGAGGGAAATCCCAAGGATAGCTATATTTTAGTCCCGTGGTTGTGTGAACGAATAGCAGAATATATTCCTGGGACAATTACATCGTGGGAGTGCACGGATGATAGGAGATTTAAGCGAGTGTTTGTAGCTTATGGGTGCTCCATACGAGGTTTCATCAACTATTGCAGGCCCATGTTAGCAATCGATGCTTGCCACTTGAGTGGCAATTATAAAGGAACAATGCTTGGTGCAACGGGGTTCGATGCGAATGATGGCTTGTGGCCTTTGGCGTATGCTGTTGTTTCTTCTGAGAATGATGATGATTGGCATTGGTTCTTGAGCAAGGTGAAAGAGATTCTAGATGGTCGCATTGTGACAATCTTAACCGACAGGCATCCGAGCCTAATAAGTTGTATTAGAGATATTTTTGGCTCCCAGTACCACTCATGGTGTCTTCGTCACCTAACGGCGAATTTTTCTACATCCATTCTTGGGAGACAAAGTTTAGGATTGAGGGCTTCGGGTAAAGAGCATGCGAAAAAATTACTCGATAAAATTGCATATGCTCGAACTGTAGATGAGTATAAGAATGCATTGGCTGCCATGCGGGTATTTCGAGGGGAGTTATGCGATTGGGTTTTGGCGAATTCACCTGAACATTGGTCAAATGCTATGTTTACTTCCAAGCGTTGGGATAAATTATACACCAATCAAGCAGAGTCCTTCAATGCATGGGTGAAAGAAGAGAGGGTTTTTTCAATCACAAGGTTGATGGATACACACATGCAAAGACTCAGCAAATTTTTATACCAAAAGAGTTTGGACGTTCAGAAGTGGACTATCCCGGTTGGGGATCATATTGAGGAGAAAATAAAAAAAGAGCAAGAGTTAGCTCTTGGTTTTCAGTCGATGCGTGTTTCGCCTACTGAGTGTACAATATATGATCGAGACAGAAAACCATTCAGGGTGGTATTTGGCAGTGAAAATTCTTGTAGTTGTTTGAAGTGGACCATGAGTGGGATTCCTTGTTCGCATGCATGCTATGCCATCCATGAATTATCTTTAAATATTTATGAGATGGTTGATCCATGGTTTAGGGTTGAAACACAACAAAAACTATGTGAACATCTCATGTCTTCTGTCCCCATGCATGATATGCCGAATGCAGCTGCTGTTGCTGCTGCTGACGGTGAAGGTGCTTCCCATCTTAGGCCTCCTGCGGTAACACGTCCCCCTGGACGACCTCGTATTAAACGAATCGAATCACAATTTCAAAATGTAAGGTCGTTACACTGTTCGCGATGCGGCGAGAATGGTCATAATCGTCGAAAGTGCAAGGCTCCTATACCTGGATAGAATAGTTATATAATTGCTAATTCTAGTGGAGTTATTTTGTAAGGTGTTAAGGCCTTAAATATGGAATTATTTTGTAATTACTATTAATTCCTTGGAGCTCCCCTACTGCATTAGTATAACTATGTTGTGATAGTATTTCTAACTTATTTAGAAAACATTTCTAAGTATGATGTAACTTATTCTAAGTTGAATCTGTATTATTCGTCTGGTGGTTTATTTTGGTATTGAAATTATTTTCCTGGGTCCTCGTATGAGTCTCATGTGGAGTGTTATTTAAAAATCATAGGTGTGTGAGTTTTCTGGCAGCTGGAGGGTCGTGAAAGCAAGGAGGTTATGGGATTATGTGACAATGGACGGGCTTACATGTTACATGCTTACGGAAGGCTAGGAAAATAACATCATATTAAAGTCATTATGACTTGTTTCCTCACTATTAATTCCTTGGAGCTCCCCTACTGCATTATGACTGTTATTTCAACCACAATTTACCTCGTGAGTCTCTCTCTTCCTCACTTTCTTTGTGTCTCAAAAATTATATGAACATTGTGTTTACATTATCAACATTGTTTGACAGATGAGGCTGAATGGATAAATCAGTACAAAGGAAGAGTGTTCAGTTTAAACGACAAGCCTGTGGTGCATAAAATTTGGCTGCCGAATGAGGAATGCCCCAGATTGGCAATGTCTAGAGCCTTTGGGGACTACTTTATTAAGGATTTTGGACTTATATCCGTCCCTGAAGTGAGGTGTTGTCACATATAACCAGCAGAGACCAATTTGTTGTGTTGCGAACCGATGAGGTATGTATGGCACTTTTTGGTATTTATCACTTGTTCTTTTTTATACAATGACAAAGAAAAAGACTTGTTTGTTTCTCTATTAAATGTCCAAAAGATCACGTGAACGAATACGTTTCAAACTCACGAGCATAATTAACAATAATCACTTCAAATTATGTGATATCAGTTATTATTAATGAGTTTACAGGTTTTTGTTTTGGCTCAAATTGATTGGATTTTGAAATTAGTATGGATTTTTGAAGTTAATCTTAACATGCTGTGATCCTTGTTTTGTAAGCAGAATTCTTCCTATCTCTTCCTTCAAACCTTATTTAATCGGTAAGAAAATTTATTGATTTAAATTGATAGAAGAAAAATTGTGTGTTTAAGCTTCCAATGGACTTGGTTTCATGCAAATTGTTTGAGAATTTCTTTTTTATTGATTTTTCAAAGTGAAGTATGTATTTCTGGGAAAAATTGTTTCAAATAGATTTTTGGGCTTCCTTCTGATTTTTTGTTGTCCAAATTGTCCAATCATGTTTGATAGAATAAAAAAATAAATAAACAATAATAAAAAGGATTTTGCTATAATCTTAGTTGACTACTGTTACCCCATTTATTTATTTATTTTGTTTAGAGTCTTGCTTTTGGTTACTAGCGCCTAATAAAAAAGTTGTTTGCTCATATGTCCCTTATTTTTGAGTTTTTTCATTTAACCATCTCCACTTGTACAATATTTTGGTGTTATATTTTGTTTAATTGATTTGCATGTACTTCAAATGTAGTCTTCCCGCTAGGGGCTGGGAAGAGATAACAACGGGAGCGTCGATTGCATGGCTATCAAGTACATCAAATTTGTAAGTTATATGGTCTTTATGTTCGATAAAAATCTTTTATGATTGCACATTTGTAATGCTTTTTATACTCATACTCGGGGGGGTCACATGCCTTTAAGTGACCAATTTTATGGTGTATCATGAACTTTATTACCTTATTGCTACATCGGCCCATGTGGAGCCCATTTTTTTTTTTCTTGTTTTAAAATGTTGAAAGCATGGGAGTATGGGATCATCGTATGTGGAGGTTTTGATTGATTGTTGTGGAAGAGAAGTTGTTGATATGTTGTTTAATGAGTTAATGCAAGTTCTCACGTTCTTCGTACATGTTGATATGTAGAGGTTTTGCTAATTTTCTCTTAAACCCAACTCATTCATCAACGCTCTCTTGCTCTCTCTCTCTCTCTCTCTAGTCTTGTTCATCGTTTTGCTAGGATTTCTACTCTATTTTTATACAATTTTAATCCCTATATATATATATATATATGCTGTTCCTAAAACATCAATTTTGGATTCAGGAATTGGACACAAAAATGTCGCGATTCCCTCTCTCCGATCAGAAACTTCGAAGGCAAAATTTGTGCGAAAAAGTATGTGTTTCCATCTGCTTGTGTGTTTATGTATGTTCGCCAACCAATTGATATTTTCGGCTTTCTGTTTCGTTGCAATGAATTCAAGAAAACGAGAAAAGTTTAAATTCTTTTAGCTTTTGTATCGAATTCCTTTTGATTTTCTTTCTTTTGTTTGTCTTCGTGAATTTGTTGGACTTTTGGATTTACTGTGAACTACGGTTTCTTCGTCTACTATTTGAATGTTTCTTTTTTTTAGACGATATCTAGTGTTGTTTGCAATATCTTTAGATTTTTGTGGTTGATGTTCCCATTAATTTCTTGGATTTTGATTTTTTTTCACGTAAGGGTTTCTTTAGCATATTTGGATGGTTTATTGTCTACGAATATGAGTTTTCAGGAATTTAGGGTTTATTTGTTCAACTTGTATAGATTCTGCACGACTAGAATTTTTGACATCATTAGATAATTTTTTGGATGGTTTGGATTTCCATGGGATTCAACATGAAGATTCAGGGAAAACACACTCAATATGTTTTTGTTTCTATTTGTATAAATTTGGATTTACGTAGTTCTTTCTTTATTCAGAGAAATAGACCCAATAAAGTTTAAATAATCAATAGGTCCCATAATCTCTTGAGAGAGGTGCAATGAGATTGTGATCAAAGACACATCAAATAGAAGAAGTGAATTCAAATATATTTGATAATGAAGCAATAGGTATAGCCATTTTTGGGCTTTCCTTTCACAATTCCTCATTGGGGGGATCCACAACACTTCTCCCTTTTCCCCTTATAACTTCCTCCCACTAATTCGAATTAGGTCTAGCCGTCCTCCTTCATTCTCCATTTTTGTGTATGCTTAGTAGTGGGCTTAGAAGAGCAAGATTGGGTTGAATGACCAAAAGATTCACAATCTAACATCTGTGACTTCTCATATAGCTTCCTCTCTATATATACCAGTCTCGAACCTTGACCAGTGGGTTTATAATTCAAACCATAAGCCAACAGGCTATAAGGTGAACCGGTAAGCATTTTCATTTCTCCAGTTGTTAGGTTTCTAAGTGAGGAAAATAGATAATAATGTAATATTATCATATGTCCTATTGTCTTGGATTACAAAGAATTTTTACTCGAAAGGAACCAAAATAGTTGTAGAAGACAGTAACGATAGTTTCAGGTTTTGTTTTTGTGTTCCATATAAAGAAAATATTACATTTCAAAATATACTCTCTTTATTTATTTAATTTTTTTTTTAATATCTTTGCCTGCCTTCTTTTGTCATCGCAATAGGCTTCACACTAATCTTGCTCCTGGGTTTTAAACTCTATGGCTGATTTTTTCCTGTCATTTTGCCTTTTTATATATATATATATATAGGTTTTATTGGAAATTCACACTAATCTTGTTCTTTTGGGATGGCAGCTGGATAGGTTTATTCCCAACCGATCTGCAATGGATTTTGATTTTGCACATTACATGCTCAACGGTGGGATGGTAAGAAAAGAAAGCCCAACACCATGCTCTCCAGCCAAAGAAGCTTACAGGAAGAGGATCCTTGCATTTTGTGTGGAAAAAGAAATTGGGCTTCTGTCAGTTTCTCTAACTGCATTTTGTGTGGAAAAAGAAAAACTTAAAGAAAAACATGGGTTTAAATGCAACACAACATGCATTTTTATATCCCATTTAAGTTCTGATAAAGTTGGTAGTTTCTTTTACGTTTTTTTTAGTTTGGAAGAGAACAAAGTCCAGTTTAGTGGTGAAGTGCAAGGTTGAATGAGGCATGTATCATTGAAGATTTTATTATACTGATATAATGCATAAAGTGAACTACTATGAAGGATTATGGCTTGTATAGTTGGCCTATATTTTAGAAAACAAATATTAGAACTAAGAGTATTATATTCTTTATTTGGAGTGAAATGAAATGTATTTATTGCAAATTGTCACATTTCTCATGATCTAGGCATTAGATTTGATTTTTCTGGTGCCACCTCTCCATCCTGTACTCTATTTTTCATGGTTTTTCTGAACAGCTAAGGACTTTGCAAGACGGGCATAGTTCAAGGGTTGGTTCTCTTGATATCCAATGACAATCACACACTGTATTAGAAAACTGTATTAGAAAATTAAAAGAAACCAAAAACTGTCTTGGTATGGATGATGGCTTTAGGATACTGCTGAAGAAAATACTAAAAAAAAATAAAATAAAATAACTGTGTTGGTGTAGGAGTGATCCCAAAGTAGGGTTATTAAAGAAATTAAAGACTCAAAAGGTGATGTTTAACTGGTTAATCTTGAAATATAGTTGCAGTTTCTTTGTCCAGTTCTTTTATGATCCTGTTTTCTTACCCCTTGTTAAAAATATCCTATACTGGATCTTGGTTCCCTTTACTATTTAGTCTATTACTACTTACATATCTTGTTCACTGATAATCAAGTTAAATTATACTTGTACTTGAGAATCCAATATAATTAATTGGTCTTTCTGGGTGTATACCAAAATTTACATGAAAATACAAAACCTTTGGAATTAAATTAGGCGGGTCACGGGGATTTAGACCTCCATTACCCAAATTAATTGTATGGGAAAGCAGTATTGTTTATCAGGAGTAGGCGGAATTAAGTTGCCTACTGCCCAAATTAGCACTAGGCTCTCTTATCTTGGTTTTGTTTATTTATGTATGTTATTTTGTTCGTACGTTTTGGTAGTAGTTTCTTCGCTACTTTTTGTTTGTCAATGATGATGATATCTATTTGATTCATAAATGACATTATAATAGTTTTGTTAAAATAAAGACATTAGATTAGTAAATTGTAATTACAAATAGGGATGTCAATAGTCTGCCTCATGACAACAATGGCACTATTTATAACTTTTTCAAACACTAAGGCTTTTTCTTGATGATATGACCATACCTCTTTATCTGCCATGGTGTAAGGCTGTTTTACATTATTTGGCTTTTTGTTCAATCACATGGCTAGACACAGAATGGGACTCTTACTGAATAAATCAGCTCTTGTAGATAAACAAAAGCAACCCACTTTCATATCTTATCATCACATGGCTAAAGTTAAAAATAGTGGTGGTAGGTGCATGAACTATTATGCAAAACACCCCACTTCCTGCCAAAGAGAGAGAGAGAGAGGTGTAAGTCCCTTTTGTCAAATCATCACATGGGTAAAACTCATTCACATGTCTGTGAATTGGGCATTGTAAATAGACATATGGCATATGCACAATGCCATAACATTAGCACTAGTAAATCTCAAGGACTGAGTTTTTTTGAGCAATAACGGGGAGGTGGAATTCATACAAAATACTGCATAAAATAAATAAAAAATACATACATTTCATATACATACTGCATAAAATTTAACTCAACTACTAAGTTTTTTTTAGCAATAACGGGGAGGTGGAATTACAAAGTCATCATCCCCTGTATCTGAATAATCTGACAACTCTGAAGCAACTTATAAGTCTGGATCATTAGTAATGGCTTGAATAACTTCAATTGGATCCTTATGCATCTTCTTTGCAATGGAAATGCTCTCATTCCTGCAACATCTGACATATAGATTTTTTAATAGCTTTGATCAAATATGAGAAAAAATAAAGATACTACATAATCAAAGTGCACTTAGAAATCTATTTAAAAAATAAATTAACATTATAATAGTTTTGTTAAAATAAAAACTTTAGATTAGTAAATTGTAATTACAAATACGGATGTCAATACTCTGCCTCATGACAACAATGCCACTATTTATAACTTTTTCAGACACTAAGGCTTTTTCTTGATGATGTGACCATTCATCTTTATCTGCCATGGTGTAAGGCCACTTCAAATTATTTGGCTTTTTTTTCAATCACATGGCTAGTCACAGAATATGACTCTCACTGAAAAAATCAGCTCTTGTAGATACACAAAACCAATCCACTTTCTCATCTTATCATCACATGGGTAAAGTTTAAAATAGTGGTGTTAGGTGTATAACACGACAACTATTATGAAGACACCCCTATCATGCCAAAGAGAGAGATGTGTAAGTCCCTTTTGCCAAATCATGATATGGGTAAAATTCATTCACATGTCTGTGAATTGGGCTCTATAAATAGACATATGGCATATGCACAAAACCATAACATTAGCACTAGTAAATCTCAGTTGTTGATCTATGGATCGAAAGTATATAGAACGAAAGTACTCGTTAAGAGATGCATGGATTGAAAGTAGTTGTTTTACATTCTCAATCGTTCTCAAAACTATTCCATTTATAATTCCTCACATCGATGATTCATTTTTTTTTGTAAAACTAACCTGGCATGTAATCATCGTCGCCTCCATCGAGATTTGGTGTGTATTTATTTTTCAATGTGTTCAAGTGTGTATTTATTTTTCCCTCAATAAACGTTTCAAAAGTGTTTTTACAAATGTACCCTGTATTTATTTTGCTATTATTTGGCTTCTATTCATTATAGCATTATAAGCTATTCCATTTTTAACTCCTCATATTTGAAACTATTCCATTTTTAACTCCTCACGACATTTCGTGAGGCCATGAGACCCCTCCGACGTATAGGATTTTGCTGCTTGCCATTGTCTTCAACCATCAAATGTTCTTCCTTCATATATAAGAAAATACTAGGAAATCTCCTCAGTATATATAATAAGATAGTAGGAAATTTTCGAACTCTAGTGAATTGTCTTCCATAAATTCATGCTAACCCTTGTAAAAATATTTTGTGTTATTAACCTCTCTCACTTCAACCCGCTACGATTTGCTTGCATAACTCCTAATTATAGACTTGGAAGGTAAAACTCTATCAAATTGCTTAAGGAACGCTGGTGGAAGTTGTAGTCGTTGAGAGCTCCGTTCCGGGAGAAAAACTTTGAAGAACTATGGACACAAATCAGGTAAGGAGAACTCTTTGCAAAGTACTATTTCATAATGGAACTGGCTTAAAAGCAGCTTCTTTACCTATTAGGGAGAGAATAATTGTTTTTAGGATATCTTATA